GCAATGATCCCGAAAGGGTACGCGATGCATTGTAGAGCACGGCATGGCATGGCGTAGAAGAGCACCGCGAAGCGTAGTATCAACCTAGCATTGCATTGCATGCCGTGGCATGGCACGGGAAATGACGCCAGCGCTGCAGCGGGAGCACGAGTCGAAACGAGCGGAAGCGCGGAAATGAGGCCCGCGCAACGAGCGGAAGCACGCCAGAATCGGCCCGGGAGGCTTCCAGGGCGCCGGAAGCAGAAATTCAGCATTTTCAAAAGAGAAGTGTGTATTGGAATGGCCTTTTTTCGGCGCCGCCTCGGAGCTTGATTTTCTGGCGCCAGCCGGAACCGGCTCCAGACCCGGCCCGAGCGCCGGCCCGGGCGCCGGCTCGGGCGTGCAGGCGCCGGCGGCAATGATGCCAGCGCTGCAGTGGGAGCACGATTCGGAACGAGCGGGGCCCGAAAATGAGGCTGGCGCCTCAGCGGGAGCAGCATTTTGGAAACAAGTGCAGGCGAAAATCAACCCCGGGGAAGCCTGTCTGTAAAAAACATTACGCGGGGGGGCGGTCGGCTACTCCCAAGCCGTCATCAGGGGAAGAGGGAGAGTAGTATTCATATTGAGTAATTGTGTAGGAGGAGGAGGAGGACGTGGAGGAGGATGAGGAATACTATTCAGACGAATCATACTAATACGAATAATAAGGAATCGCAGTGACTAGTGATACTATTGATATTAATCGTACGAAGAAGACGGTCAACAACACCAATAAAACGAACACGAACACGAAGACGGACACACATAGTAAGAACAAGTAGATGGTAGTACTACGAACAGTAATGATTCTCATAGTAAAAAGGGATATGATCACGAGAAGGAGGATAACTCATACTACTAGTACTAAGACGAAAACTACTACTACAACGAAGACAACAATACGAGTAACTATAAGAAGAGTTATGATAACATTCATACTAATAAGACGAATGCCAGCAGTACAAACAATACGAATAGTCAGCATACTAATATTCATACTGCGAAACCAAAACGAAAACTAATAACACTAATACTCATAAGACGAGGATGAGGAGGAGGAAGAGGAGGAGGAGGAGGAGGAGGAGGAGGAGGAGGAGGAGGAGGATGAGGATGCGGATAATGCGGGGGAGGCGGAGGAGGAGGAGGAGGAGGAGGAGGAGGAGGAGGAGCGGGAGCAGGAGGAGGAGGTGGAGGAGGAAGAGGAGGAGGAAGTTGCACCCTCCGCCGACAAGGGTACGTTCGGCTCAAGGCCAGAGGGGGTGCCGGCGGCGCCAGAGGCGCGGGCGCAGAGGGACGCCGCCGATGGCTTGCGAGAACGAGCACGGGACGGCCTCCCCGCCCGAGGGCGAGGAGGACGGAGGCCCGTCCGAGAAAGCAGAAGGAAACCGCAGTGGATTTCACGCTCACGCCTCCTTCGCCCCCCCCCCCCCCAGAACAGCCGCTTGGCACACCGCAGCTGGACCTCGCGGCGCCCCCCACCGACGGCGCAGCCATCCGAGGAGGAACGGCAGCCGTGGCGGTGCGGGCCTGGCTTGGGGAGTGCGTGCCCCTGCCCACGACGAGGACGTGCCGGCGCCGCGCGACTCGGGGCGCCCGTAGTCTGGCGCCAGTCACGCCCGGCAGGGGCCTGATGGAGGAGGCGCCACGGACTCGGGAGCGCGACTTGCGAATGACCGGGGGCTTTGAAGATTGGGTCGGAGCACGGTTCAGAAGGCGCCAGGCCATCTTCGGACAGGGGCCGCACGCGGACGTCAGCACGGAGGCCGCCAAGGCCGCGAAGCGATTCGCGGAGTTGCTCGGGCGGCCACTCGCACCAGAGGGGTACGAGCAGCGGCGGGAGACAGCCTTTCAGTGACGAACCAACAACACACACCCATACCCATAGGGGGGTCAGAAAGGACTATGGGAGCGTTTCCTAGGGTCCGACAACGCGCACCCATACCCATAGCCAGTCCTCCTCCCAACGACCCCCTTATGGGTAATTATGGGGGTGTGTTGTTCGTTCGTCATTCAGCTCAGTGCAGTGCGCGCGGAGTAGCCGAGGCAGCGATGCAGCGGTGCCGCAGCCCGCGGGGCGAGGGCGCCGGGGCGGGGGGCGGTCCCCGCGGACGAGGGCGGGCCGACCTCCGAGGGGGAGGGCGCGCCAGCGGCGCCGCCAGCTCCGCGAGCCACAAGGCACGTCGGCAGAGAAGGCGGCGCCCTACAGTCAAGAACCCTAACAAGGACGCGCGACTTTGCTCAGGGTGCCCTTGCGTCCTTGCTCTCCCTTGTCCTTGCGTCCTTGGGGTTTTCGTCGTCCGCCGCCCCCAAACATCCCAGCTTCGGCTCCCAGCGGTCTTGCGTCCTTGCCGCGCGTTTTTCTTAGGGTTCTTGACCGGAGGTCAGCAGCGGCCCCCGCGGACGCCACGCCCAGGGCGGGCCGGCTTGCCCGCGCAGCTGACGCGGCAGCCCGGGCAGCAGGCAGCGCGAGCGCGGGAGGACCGCGCCCTCGCGCGGCAGCCGTCGGCCGAGGGCCGCTTGGGCGGAGGGGGAGCTCGGAGGCCGACCTGCGCCGTGTCCCCCCCCCTCCCCCCGAGGAAGGCCAGTTGCCGCCTCCGCTGGGCGCCGACCGCCACGCGGGCGCAACGGTGGCGCGCCCCCCTCCCGCAGGCCCCCCCCCCCGCCAGCCCAGCCGCGGGTGGCCACGGGCCGGACGGCCGAGGGCGAGCACAGTGAGCAACGGACAAGACGGCCAAGGCCACCGCCCCCGCGGCGAGGCGCCTAGACGGGGCCATGGTATCTGCGGGTCTGTCGAGCGGCTCGCCACGCAACATCATGGGCGGGGACGACCTCGCCCGGAGCCGCCGCTCGGGGATCGGCGCGCCAGTGGGAACGGGCAAGCAGGGGCGCAGAAGTGGGGCGTCCCCGCCACAGAGTGCTGCTGCTCGGCGGCGTTCAGCAAGGCGCTCCGCGGCCACCACCACCTCGGCCCGCGTCGGGCGCCCTTGGCCAGACGGGCTCGCGCTCGAGGGCGCTCGAGCAGGTGGCGGCGGCCGAGGGCCTCGGCGCGACGGAGGCGCCAGCGGGGGAGAGCTCGTGGACCGATCGGCAGCGAGGGGCAGGCTCCGGAGCGGCTGCGGAGGCAGCAGGGCGAGCCTTTGCCACCGCCGTCTCGCCTGCGTCGGGCGCCCTTTTGGCAAGCGAGCCCGCGGTCGGGAGCGCTCGAGCAGCTGGCGGCGGCCGGGGACCTCGGCGCGCCGCGGGCCGCTGCGCGGTGAGACTCGGCGGCCGCCGACGGGGCCCGTGGCCCAAACGGCAGTTGCAAAACCGGTGCCGAGGCAGCGGCGAGCGTCCACGACTGCCCCGGGCGGACGATGCGGCAGGACGCCGCGGGGCGCCTCGGGGGGTGGGCAGCCGACGGGCGGCCGCGGCCCCGCCCTCCGCGGGGCCCGTTCGGCCCGCCTCGCCCGGAGGCGCCCTTCGAGGGGGCCGCCGCGGGCCGGGCTCGCAGGCAGCGCGCGCCTCGGCGCGCCGAGGAGGCGCGGGCGCGGGCCCTGGAGGCGGGGCGCGCAGGTGGCCCCTTGCGCGTGCGCGGGGCCCCGTGGCCCGCGGTGATCGGGCCCTGTCGTCGAGGGCGCGAACGGCTTGGGCCCTCGCGCCGCGCGTGCCGACGGCGCCGAGCCAGGCTCTTCGCGCCAGGGGTGGGCCCAGCGCGCGGCAGACTCGCTCGCTGTTCGGCCCGAGGCCCGCCAGGTCGTCGCAGACGCGGAGACGGTGTTCGGCGCGGGCAAGGGGCTGACGAGGGGCTGCGCGGTTGCCCATCGGCTTCGTCACTGCAGCGCTTTGTGGCCCGCCACCGCTGCGGCGAATGCCCCGTATAATTATGATGAGAGACGAGGCACGGCAGGCTGCGCCACAAGTAAACGACCCCAGTGGGTCGGCCGCCGAGAACGAGGACAGAGCGTCGCTCCGCCGCAGGGAGCGACCGGGGCGGCCCGAAGCGGGAATGCGGGAAGGGGGTGGTGGAGTCTGGAAAACCTTCGAGCCGATTCCAAGTGCACTGCGCTGTCACAGAGGGGAAGCAGGAGGAGGAACGGGCCAGGGGAACGACGAAGGACGGTGGAACGAGGTGGATAGGAAGGATGATGATGAGCGGGCGACCCCCCCATCCTCCCCCATCCTCCCTTACCCCCTTACACTTCCTACCCCGTCCCCTTCCTCCTCCTCCTTCTCCTCCTCCTAGTCTTCCTGCTGCTCATCCTCCTTGTCCTGCCACGGCTAATAACACAGCTCTCATTGGCATTGGAGCGACTGCGGTTGCCGGAGAATTGGGGAAACACATTTGAGAAAATTTCGACGGAGCAATCCATTCAAATAACACCCGTTGGGACAGACAACAACAAGTCACGAGGGCACAGCCGTCCCTTAGGAGGAAATTTACACTTCTGATTTGGGCGTGCCACCGATACGTTTGTTGCGTACCAAATTTTGACTGTCGTATGCTGCTGGCGCAAAAGGGTGGCTCCATATTGCCTCGTCGCTTGTATGTGGGACCTGACACACCTACGAGCGGGTTGTGGAGGGCGCGGAGGAAAAGGCGGAACATGTTCTGCAGCACGAGAGCAGGGGGGGCAGTGGCGTCGGTCTGTCTCGGTTTCGCTGTCGGCCCCTCGGCCCGTCGGCTGGAGAGTTGACGTTATCGTGGTCGTCATCGTTGTCGTTGTCGTCGTCGCATCCACCAGAACGATTTGAAGCATGGGTGTGGTGAAGGGGGCGTCAGCGCGGCGGGCGCAAAACATGTATTACATTCCGCGCGTGTTTCTTCTGCTACTTCGTGAGTGTCTGGGCTTGGTGTGGGGGGGGCGTGCGCACTCGAGCGATGGTTCATCCATTGCAGGGTCGCGTCCATCATCAGCTTCGCTTCGGAACGTTAGGAGTTGGAGGCTCGCAGTTCATCCGCGCCCTGACCTCATCGCTGCGTCATTTTGCAGACTTCCAGACAGGCCGCGGACACGCCGGTCTCGGATCTGGACTTCAGGCAGACGTGGAAGGCGCTGGTTGGAACCGTGTCGGAAGCTGGGCTCTGCAAGCATTTTTCAGGGTTTGGTCGGCTATCCAATGGCGTTGCCGCACGAATCCACCACCGCGCCCGGGCGAACATCTCGGGGGAGGGGTCTGGGGAGGAAGGGGGCGGGGGTTGTCATGGAGCGCCAATCTTGGCGTCGGCGTTCCTTCCGTTTGGAAAGCAAAAAAAAAGGTTCATAAAGTTCATCGAACGACAAATCACCAGAAACAAACTCAAACCAGCAGGTTTTCGTATTTTGTTGAAGGTTCTCTAGACCTTCTCTCTCACTCGCTCCCTCTTGAAGCTGTTATGTATGTATGCGTCCCAACTCTGCTCCACACTTTATTATTGCATCAACTCACTACTCGTTGCTACCCACTCTCCCATTCGGAGCATGATCACAACCACATCCACACATTCTCGCTCCATTCATATTCCCATTCGTATATTTCTATAGGGCCGGGGACCCCGGGCCGGGGACCCCGGAAAGAGCGCCCCCCCGGACCCCCCCCCCATCCTCGAGCCTGTCTTGCGCCTTGGGTTTTCTCTGATTTTCGACTCTCGGGGCTCTCTTGGGCCAGCATTAGGCCTCTTCGGGGCTCGTCTGGGGACTCATTTGGAGCCGTCCTGGGGCTATCTCGACGCCTCAAGAGCCGATCGTAATCGAAATAGCGAGAAGGCCAAAAACAATGATTTTCCTATGGTATCCATTGATTTTCAATTCACTGGGCATCTTCGGCTGGCATTGGGCCTCTGTGGGGCTCGTCTGGGAACTCATTTGGAGCCGTCCTGGGGCTATCTTGATGCCTCAAGAGCCGATCCTAAGCGTAAAGGCGAGAAGGCCAAAAACATTGGATGTTCATTGAATTTCAATTCTTTGAGCCTTCTTCGGCCAGCCTTGAGCCTCTGTGGGCTTCGGCTTGCGCCTCTCTGGACCCATCCTGGGGCTATCTTGACGCCTCGCAAGCCGACCAGAAGCGAAAAGGCGAGAAGACCGAAACCATTGCCTTTCCCATGGGTTTGTTTTATTGGTTTTCGAACTTCTGGGCCTTCTAGGGCCAGTCTGTGCCCTCTTTGGGGCTCGTCCGGGGACTCATTCGGAGCCGTCCTGGGCCTATCTTGACGCCTCAAGAGCCGATCCTAAGCGAAAATGAGAGAGGGCCAAAAACATTGATTTTCGAATAGCTTTTCATTTGATTTCAATTCTTTGGGCCTTCTTCGGCCAGCCTTGAGCCTCTGTGGGCTTCGGCTTGCGCCTCTCTGGAGCCATCCTGGGGCTATCTTGACGCTCCCCGAACCAACCGAAAGCGAAACGGCGAGAAGACCGACACCATTGCCTTTCCCATGGGTTTGTTTTATTGGTTTTCGAACCTCAGGGCCCTCTAAGGCCAGTCTGTGCCCTCTTTGGGGCTCGTCTGGGGACTCATTTGGAGCCGTCCTGGGCCTATCTTGATGCCTCAAGCGCCAATCGGAAGCGACAAAACGAGAAGACCACATACATTGATTTTCCAAGGGGTTATCACGGAATTTGAATTCTTTGGGCCCTCTTCGGCCAGCCTTGGGCCTTTGTGGGCCTTTGCTTACGCCTCTCCGAGGCCATCCTGCGGTCATCTTGACGCCTCTCGAGCCAACCGAGAGGAAAAGCGAAAAGGCCGAACACATTGCTTTTCCAATGGGTTTTCTCTGATTTCCGACTCTACGGGCCCCGTTCAGCCAGCCTTGGGCCTCTTTGGGACTCGTCTGGGGACTCATTTGGAGCCGTCCTGGGGCTATCTTGACGCCTCTAGAGCCGATCGTAAGCGAAAAGGCGAGAAGACCAAACACATGGATTTTCCAATGAGTTTTCATTGAATTTCAATTCTTTGGGCCTTCTTGGGCCAGGCATTGACCTCTTCGGGGCTCGAAGCCAGCAGCCCAGCAGCGCGCATGCCGAAAACTTCATGTTCTGTAGGAGGTGGAGGAAGAGGAGGAGGAGGAGGAGGAGGAGGAGGAGGAGGAGGAGGAGGAGGAGGAGGAGGAGGAGGAGGAGGAGGGAGGAGGAGGAGGAGGAGGAGGAGGAGGAGGAGGAGGAGGGGAGCCTGACCCGATGCAGGCCTGGGCGGTTTGTGCGTTTTCAATAGGCATCCTTCTGTGGAGGACGAGCGAAACCGAAGACGGATCAGAAAACCACAAGACCGCAAAGACCAACAACAACAAACAAAACACATATTTTCGAATCGAATCTGGCTGTCGACCACGAAATTCTACCTGACAGTTTTTTTTGAAAGAATGTTGTTTTTGTTTTTTGGTCTATTGGAAAGTCTCACAATGTGAATCCTTTGGAAAGCGCCACAAAGGAATTCGAGTGGAAAGCCTCGCAGCAGGAATCCTCTGGAAAGCACAATGAAGGGATTCCATGGGAAAATATCACAACTGGAATCGTTTGGAAAGCGCCACAGAGGGATTCTATGGGAAAGCCTCACACTCGGAATCCTTTGGAAACCGCCACAAAGGGATTCTATGGGAAAGCCTCTCAATCGGAATCCTCTGGAAAGCCCCACAAAAGGATTTTATTGGAAAGCCTCACAACAGGAATTCCCTCGGACAGCGCCACAAAGGGATTCTATTGGAAAGCCTCACAGTCGGAACCTTTTGGAAAGCGCCACAAAGGGATTCTATTGGAAAGCCTCACAATCGGAGTCCTTTGGAAAGCACAATGAAGGGAGCCGATGGGGAAGCCTCACAACAGGAATCCTCTGGAAAGCGCCACGAAGGGATTCGACTGGAAAGCCTCACAATTGCAATCCTCTGGAAAGCACAACATAGGGTATCTATTGGGAAGCGTCACAGCAGGAATCCAGTGGAAAGCACAACGCGGGGATTGTATGGGAACACTGCACAACAGGAATCCTTTGGAAAGCGCCACAAAGGGATTCTATTGGAAAGCCTCACAACAGGAATCCGTTGGAAAGCGCCACAAAAGGGATCCGATTGGACAGCGTCGCAGCAGGATTCCTCTGGAAAGCACCACAAAAGGATTCTATTGGACAGCCTCACAATGGAAGCCTTTGGAAAGCGCCACAAAGGCATTCCATTGGAAAGCAATCGGAGTCCTTCGGAAAGCGCCACAAAAGGATTCTATGGGAAAGCCTCACAATCGGAATCCGTTGGAAAGCCCCACAAGAGGATTCTCCTTGAAAGCCTCACAACAGGAATCCTCTGGAAAGCGCCACGAGGGATTCTATTTGAAAGCCCCACAGTCGGAATCCTTTTTCGAAAAGCCACGAAGCCACCATTGCGTGTTTGTTAAAAACGGCCAAACCGCCCAGGCCTGCATTGGGTCTGCTTCGGGAGGAGGAGGAGGAGGTAGAGGAGAAGGAGGAGGAGGAGGAGGAGGAGGTAGAGGAGAAGGAGGAGAAGGAGGAGGAGGAGGAGGAGAAGGATGAGGAATTTGAGGAAGAGAGGGAGAGAGAAGAAAAAGGATGATAATGAGGAGGAGAAAGAGGTGGAGGATGCCCTGCTTCATGTCAGCCCGACCACTCGCCCGAGACATATTCGCGCCTCTGGGCCGCGAAACGCCCTGAGATGGCTTCAGGTGGTGTTGTCCGGTCGCTCCCGCTCAGGACCTCCTCACCCATTCCGACTTGGCGTTGGCTCGCCCCATGTCCACGCGCACGCACGCCGCCTGCATTCGAAACTACAAGGAACAAGTTGCATGGCGCGAAGCGACAATGCCGTCTTGTATATTGTAGTGGCCTCCGGCCAGTGCCGCCGATCCGGGGCGCCTTTGATGCTATTGTTAGGTCTCTCGGCGGCCTCATGGGTACACTTTTTGAGGCATCTTGGAGGCCGTTGTGGGGGCCCTCGGGGCCTCTTCTGGGCCTCTTGGGGGCCTCTTCTGGGCCTCGTGGGTCCTGCTGGGGGCTTCTTGGGGGCCTCTTGGGACCTTTTGGGGCCCTCTTGGGGGCCTCTTGGGGGCCTTTTGGGGCCTCCTGGGGGCTTCTGGAGGCCGAGGGCTCGAAATTTCCGTTCGGGTTCCCCGTCTGGCTCCCCTGTTGGAGCCGTCTTGAGAGCCTCTGGGGCCGTTGTGGGAGTTTCTTGGGCAGTCTTGGGGCTCTCTTGGGCCGTCTGGGAGCCATTTTGGGGGCCTCTTGGGCCGTCTTGCGGAGATTTTGGGGACCTATGGGGCCGTCTTGGGGCGTCGGGAAGCCGAAAAGGGGGGAAGGCCCGAATCTTTGCATCACCATCATAAAATTTATGATTTTGGCCTCCAAGGGTTCTCGTCGGAGGGCCCTTGGAGGTTTCTTGGAGCGTCTCGGCGGCCACTTGTGCCGTCTGGAGGCCATCTTCGGCGTCTTGGAGCGCTCTTTGGGCGTCTCGGAGGCTAATGGGGCCGTCTTAGGGGGTCTTGGGGCCCTCTTCGTCCGTTTTGGGGCCCTCGCGGGCCCAGAAAAGTCCCCCCCCCCCAGAAAGCGGACCACAACTCGTCCTCCCCCCCAGACCTTTTCCCCAGTAAAGCCCCCCTGCCCCCGCCCCCCCCTAGCAGAGCTGAAACTCAGGCTCTAGGCTGTAGGATGTAGCTGAGACTTTTTCAAACTCACACGCCGGATCGGCGCACTTATATATCTATATATGTATGTATATGTATGTATGTATATATGTAGTTACGTAAGCACACACAAATATATGTATACCTCTACTCTACCTCTCTCTCTCTCTATCTGTTTCTCGATTTCCTTCTTTATGCTACGACTTTGTTGGATAGGTCAATTGAGACACATGCGTTTGACGTTATTCGCGCGCACATATCTGTACATCTGTATACATGCATGCATGCATGCGTGCATGTATGTATGCATGCATGCATGCATGGCCCTCCGTTCGACCCGAGGCCCGCCAGGCCGTCGCAGACGCGGAGGGTTTTCGGCGCGGGCAGAGGGCTGACAAGGGGCTGCGCGGTTGCCCATCGGCTTCGTCACTGCAGCGCTCTGTGGCCCGCCACCGCTGCGGCGAATGCCCCGTATAACTAAGATGAGAGACGAGGCACGGCAGGCTGCGCCACAAGTAAACGACCCCAGTGTGTCGGCCGCCGAGAACGAGGGCAGAGCGTCGCTCCGCCGCAGGGAGCGACCGGGGCGGCCCGAAGCGGGAATGCGGAAAGGGGGTGGTAGAGTCTGGAAAATTTTCGAGCCGATTCCAAGTGCACTGCGCTGTCACAGAGGGGAAGCAGGAGGAGGAACGGGCTAGGGGAACGACGAAGGACGGTGGAACGAGGTGGACAGGAGGGATAATGATGAGCGGGCGACCCCCCATCCTCCCCCATCCTCCCCCGTCCTCCCCTTCCTCTTCCTCCTCTTCGTGCTGCTCATCCTCCTTGTCCTGCCACGGCTAAGAACACAGCTCTCATTGGCATTGGAGCGACTGCGTCGGCTGGAGGAATGGGGAAACACATCTGAGAAGTCGCCGACGAAACCGTCCATTCAAGTAGCACCCGTTGGGGCAGACAGCAATAAGTCATGGGGGCACAGCCTTCCCTTAGTGGGATATCTGAACTTCTGATTGGGCGTGCCAGCGATACCTATCTTGCCTACCATATATGGACTCTGTCGTATGCTGCCAGCGCAAAAGGGTGGCTCCACATTGCCTCGTCGCTTGTATGTGGGTCCTATACTACCTACGGAGGAGGAGGAGGAACATGTTCTGCAGCACGAGGGCACGCGTGTTTCTTCTGCTACTTCGTGAGTATCTGGACCTGGTGGGGGGGCGTACGCACTCGAGTGACGGTTCATCCATTGCAGGGTCGCGTCCATCATCAGCTTCGCTTCGGAACGTTAGGAGTTGGATGCTTGCAATTCATTCGCGCGCTGAACTCATCACTGCGACATTTTGCAGATTTCCAGACAGGACGCGGACACGCGGGGCTCGGACCTGGTGGACTCAAGGCAGATGTGGAAGGCGCTGGTTGGAACCGTGCCGGAAGCTGGGCTCTGCAAACATTTTCCAGGGTCGGGTCGGCCATCCAATTGCGTTGCCGCGGCGCGAATCCACCACCGCGCCCAGGCGGGCGCCTTGGGGGAGTGGTCTGGGGAGGACGTGGGCGGGAGTTGTCATGAAGCATGATACCCAAATCTTGGTGTCGGCGTTCTTCCCGTTTGGAAAGCAAAAAGGCTCATAAAGCTCATTGAACGACAAATCACCAGAAGCAAACTCAAACCAGCAGGTCCTCCTATTTTGTTGACGGTTCTCCAGGCCCTCCCTCTCACTCGATCCCTCTTGAAGCTGCTATGTATGTATACGTCCCAACTCTGCTCCATATTCTATTGTGTCAACTCTCTACTCGTTGCTACCCACTCTCCCTTTCGGAGCATGTTCACAATCACATCCACACACTTTCTCGCTCTATTTATACATATATCTACACACACGCTCTGTCTCTCTCTCTCTCTCTCTTCCTCGATTTCCTTATGCTACGTCTCTGTTTGATTGTTTTTTTGTATCAAACCTCCCCCCGTTTGTCCATCAACTAAGACACATGCGTATAAAGATATTCGCGCACACGGGTAGGTATATATAAATATATATATATATATATATATATATATATATATGTACGTGTGTGCATGTATGTACATATGCATGTATCTATGTATGGATGAACGAAAATATGTATGCATGCACGCACGCACGCACGCATGCATGCATGCAGGCAGGCGTGTATGTATGCTTCTATGTATGGATGCATGCATACATGCATGCATGCATGCGTGTCTGCATGTATGTTTGCAGGTATGTATGTAGGCAGGCATGTATGCATATATGCATCTATGCATGCTTATACTATGCATGTACATATGTATGCATGTATGCAGGTAGGTATGCATGCATGATATGTACACGTATACAAACATCTATACATACATGCATACACCTATATTTGCATACATCGAATCATACATACACACATGTACACGCACATACGTAAGTTCATACACAGTTTCGCATACATGCATACATGCATATGCATGCATGCATGCATACATGTATACACATATGTGTATATGCATATCCATACCGTTATGTACACACACATGCCAACATCAACACATATATGTATGCATGCAAACTTGTAACTACATACGCATACGTATAAGTAACTCCTGATCCCTCTACCCAGCTTGGCTCGAGTTCCCTTTGAGATATACCCTTCATTCTGTATTGCCTGCTCGCATTCTGACCGTGGTCGCAAGGATCTAGGTACTCGATAACGCGATCACCTGGGAAACTCATATAGCACTGGGCATCCTGCACCCAGACCCAGGAACCGCCGAGGAACCCAGCCGCCCATACAAGACGGCCCAGCACGGGGACCCCGTACCCCAGCCGCCCGCCGGACTGGCCTCGTTTTTTTTCGTCGGGCGGGAGGTAATGGGGGGTGACCCGAATGTGGGGTGAAGGAAAGGTCCCTTACGGTGCCCTTTAGTGCCCGAAAAAGGCACTAAGTGACTCCTTTTAGGTACCTTCCGTTCGTCCCACATTTGGGTCAGCCCCCAAAGCACCCGCCCGATTCAGCTGAACGCGGAATCCGGAACACGCCCGCCTACCGGAATCGGCCTGGTATTTTTGCCGATTCTTTTTACTCCTGCTAGGACCCCCTCAGTGCAAGCACTTGTTGGGGGACAACGCATGCTAGGCGCGATTCGTCGGCGGGGGGAGTAATGCTTGTTCCGAGACCAACTACTGGAAACGCTTGCGGGTTGACCGAATTTTGCTGTCAAGAGACGCGTGATCAGGTGGTATCAACGTGCCTGGCGCTTGGCCGCTCCTGGATGCATTCCTGGTGACGTCTGCAGAGTTTGGAGATGCTTGGTCGAACTCTCAGTGCCATGGTCTTGTGTATTGGTATGGATGGGGGATTCTGGATTAATTGTGATATCCTGCCAGATCGACCTCTCCGACCAGATATTCAGTCGATGTCGACGAGAAGGGAGGCAGTTGGTTCTGATCTAGGCCTCCCAGATCGGGTCCGAGCAAATGGGGTTCGAGCACTGCGCCGCATCGCCGATGCATCGGCGATGTGGCTCGATGTGGCACGCCGGTGGTGCCGATGCATCGACGACGTCGCCGATACGTCGGCGATGCATCGGCGCTGCATCGCTGGTGCATTCACCGATGCGGCGCGCTCCTCCGAGCGCGCCTGCTCGGACCCCATCTGGGAGGCCTCCATTTGAGCCCCCCCCCCCCGACAGAGACGAAAGCGGGGCCTCACGCGCCGGGAGGGGCATGCCACGGCTGGGGATCGAAGTACGCCCAGGGTGAAGGGGCCAGGGGTGGAGGGGGAGGAGGACGAGCAGCGGGGGGAGGAGCCCGGAGCAGGGGGATCGGGAAGAGGAGCAGGGGGGAGGGTTCCAGAGGAGGAGCAGCAGGAGGAAGAGCAGCAGGGGGCCAGGGGTGCCCGGGGAAGATGCGGAAGAGTAGGGTGGGAGGGATGATGCAAGTTGTCACGTAATTTCTGGGCTCGATTTGTTCGCCTGGTTCCCTTATACCATCTTCTTCATCGCCGTCGTCCCACTCGCCCCTCTCACTTCTGAGCATTCTCCTGGTTCTCCTGCTCGTCGTCCTCCTCTTTCGGATGGCCCCTCTGAATTCCTGATCCTCCTGCCCTCGCTGCCTCTCCGTCTGCTGGCCTTCCTCCGAGCCTTGGCCCCCCCCCCCGCTCAGCCTTCTCTTCCCTCCTCCTGCTCCCCCTTCCTGCTCCCCCTTCCTGCTTCCCCTCTTCCTCTCCCGCTCCGCCTCCCTCCCCCCCGCCCGCCCCCGCTCCCGCCGTCTCCTGCTCCCGGCCCGCCCCCGCCTGGCCCGCCCTCCCTGCCAGGACGGCTCCAAGGTCCGCGCCGCGGCCAAGCTGAGCAGGGGCTTCCGGAAGGACGCGGCCGGGCCCCCTCGGGGTGGTCGCGAGCGGGGGGCGGGGGGACGAGGCCAGGGAATGGCCGACGGAGAACGGAGCAGGAGGCGGGCGACGAAGGAGGGGGGGGAGGAGGCGGCCCCAAGGCTGGCGCCCTTGGCCGGCGCCCAGCGCGCCACTGCTAGGTTTCCGAGAGGCAGGCGTCCGGCTGGGCCTTTCTCGCGTGAGGGGGGCAGGAGGAGGAGGAGGAGGAGGAGGAGGAGGAGGAGGAGGAGGAGGAGGAGGAGGAGGCGGAGGAGGGGGAGGAGGAGGGGGAGGGGGAGGGGGAGGAGGGGGGAGGAGGAGGAGGAGGAGGAGGAGGAGGAGGAGGAGGAGGAGGAGGAGGAGGAGGAGGAGGAGGAGGAGGAGGAGGAGGAGGAGGAAGAGGAGCCATTGGCCGAGGAGGGGCTGGGCCGTCGTCGCCTCGTCGGTCGCCCCAGTCGGCTTGGGCTCGCGCGCAGCGCGCCATAGGCGCCGCAGATGTGGCGGCAGGAGCCGCCATTCCCCACCACGCCCAGGTCAAAAGAAGAAACCTGGCACCGCCGCGCCAGGGCCCAGCGCGGCCAGGACAGGCTGCTCGTCAGGCTGGCGGCCGCCGCCAGCAGGCTGGAGCAGCACCACAGCGCCCAGCAGCCCCAGCGCCACCAGCAGCACGCGATGGCACAACAGGGTCATTGGACAGGATGGCGGGACCAAAGGGGATCAGCGGAAAGGAGGACAGGAGCAGGGTCCTCAACCTCTGGCCCAGGTCCCGCCGTCGGCCAAACAGACAGCATGATGGCAATGGGACCGCCAGTTGGAGCTCAGCCGCATCCATGGAGAAGACCATCACGAGGGAGGTCATCGGCAAGAGCTCCACAATGGCATGACCAATACAACAAGCACAACCAGCACAACACATACCATAATAATTACAATCAGAAGAAGAAAACCAGGTCCGCCTCCAGAAGGCACCACGATCCCAGCAGAGGTAGCCAGGCAGACAACACACAGGCGATCCAGATGCAGGACTTCGTCTACACGACAAAGCAGCAGGGCATCATCGTTGAGTTCATCCCGAGCACGGAGGCGAGGGCGGTCAACCACGAGGCCTTCTCCTACCCCCCTCACGAGACGGAGCTCCTCCGTACGTGGAGGCGTACCTCAGAGGAGCATGAAGTATTGATATTGATAGTTTCCAAGATTTTCAGGTTTTCTCGTTCTTCCGCGCGGGCTACAGGGACGAATGGTCGAGCGCATTCCGTCGCGCAGGTTCTTTGCGCTATGTGCGCGGTGCATTTTTCGCGCACGGGAATGCCCTCGGAGATGCCAAGCTGTATGCTTTGTTGTTCTTGGGGTGTCCGCGAGTCGCAGCTGCCGTGGCGCTGCTTTCGGGGTGGCCCCTTCGAGTGCTGTTCGCGGGCGCAACGCGCGGCGCGCGCTGCGCCCAACCGCGCGCGGCACCGAACTGAGAGTCCTAGAACGCGAGACGCCGACTAGGACGCCGAGAACAACGGCAGATAGTCTATTACAATTGTAGCCGATGTCCACCACATCGAAGCGTACGCCAGCAAGCAACACAACACGCCCAACCACGACGACGTATGCCAATGGATACGCATGGCAAAGGAAGAACCACCCACATTCAAAAGTATAGCCACACACGCCTACAAGACAGCCGTCGCACACAACAAAGAACAAGCAGCTACTGTTGCCTGGAGGAGGCGCACCAACGACATGTGCGACGGCACCGTCATCCCTACGCCCGAGAGCGAAGGCCTGCAACATGACGACATATACCTTTGCTACGAACGTGGGCAAACCATGAGCGGCAAGGCGGCGTACCGAAAGCCCATGCGCGCGAAGCACAGCCAACAATCAACTATAATCAACTACATCCACGAGGCTACATGCCAAGTCTGCGTGAGGGAGTATTGGACGGTCAACAGATTGTACAAGCACATGTGAGCCAGCAGACGGTGTGCATCGCTCTCCATGAAGTGCAGCAAGCGGCGTGACGACGACGCAGCCAACGTCATATTCAACGGGATAAGGCACGTACGTCGGACCAGCAAACACAAAGGACCACCCGAATATTCTTTACGCTTCGCGTATCCCCACCAGCCCTTCTCAAAACAGCAACTCTTGCGAAACATGCCGGCCGTCGTGTTTTTCAGGCGTGTTTCCGCCTGCCCCCGCATATCTCCCTTGTTCCTCCTTCCTCCCGCCTCCTTGTACATCCTCCTTGTGGTGGGAGCGGGAGAAGGACGAGGCGGAGGAGGAATGAGAGAAAACGCTCCTCGTGGTTTGAGTCGCTTGGGGTTTCTCGTCCTGGTGTGAGTCGTTCGGGCCCTTCTTCCTGGTGTGAGTCGTTCGGGCTCTTCGTGGTGTGAGTCGTTCGGGCTCTTCGTCCTGGTGTGAGTCGTTCGGGCTTCTCGTGGTGTGAGTTGTTCGGGCCCCTCATCCTGGTGTGAGTCGTTCGGGCCCCTCCTCCTGGTGTGACTCGTTCGGGCTCCTCGTGGTGTGAGTCGTTCGGGGCCCGCGTCGTGGTGTGAGTCGTTCGGGCTCCTCGTGGTGTGAGTCGTTCGGGCGCCTCGTCCTGGTGTGAGTCGTTCGGGCCCCTCCTTGTGGTGTGAGTCGTTCGGGCTCTTCGTGGTGTGAGTCGTTCGGGCCCCTCGTCCTGGTGTGAGTCGTTCGGGCTCCTCGTGGCGTGAGGCGTTCGGGCACCTCGTCCTGGTGCAAGTCGTTCGGGCCCCTCGTAGTAGTAGTAGTAGTAGTAGTAGTAGTAGTAGTAGTAGTAGTAGTAGTAGTAGTAGTAGTAGTAGTAGTAGTAGTAGTAGTAGTAGTAGTAGTAGTAGTAGTAGTAGTAGTAGTAGTAGTAGTAGTAGTAATAGTAGTAGTAGTAGTAGTAGTAGTAGTAGTAGTAGTAGTAGTAGTAGTAGTAGTAGTAGTAGTAGTAGTAGTAGTAGTAGTAGTAGTAGTAGTAGTAGTAGTTAGTAGTAATAGTAGTAGTAGTAGTAGTAGTAGTAGTAGTAGTTAGTTAGTTATAGTAGTAGTAGTAGTAATAATAGTAGTAGTAGTAGTAGTAGTAGTAGTAGTAGTAGTAGTAGTTTAAGAGTAGGGTACTAGTTAGTAGTAGTAGTAGTAGTAGTTAGTAGTAGTAGTAGTAGTAGTAGTAGTAGTAGAAGTAGTAGCAGCAGCCAGCAGTGGTCGTAGTAGTAGTAGTAGTAGTAGTAGTAGTAGTAGTAGTCGCTAGGAGTAGTAGTAGTAGTAGCGTAGTAATAGTAGTAGTAGGCAGTAAGCACACGTAGCAGCAGCAGCAGCAGCAGCAGCAGCAGCAAGCAGCAGCAGCAGCGTTAGTAGTAGTAGTAGTAGTAATAGTGTCGTAGTAGTAGTAGTAGTAGTAGTAGTAGTAGTAGTAGTAGTAGTAGTAAGTAGTAGTAGTAGTAGTAGTAGTAGTAGTTAGTAGTAGTAGTAGTAGTAGTAGTAGTAGTAGTAGTAGTAGTAGTAGTAGTAGTAGTAGTAGTAGTAGTAGTAGTAGTAGTAGTAGTAGTAGTAGTAGTAGTAGTAGTAGATATCTTTTGGGAGCCTCTTGGAGGCCGTTTGGGGCGTCTTGGGGGCCTCTTGGCGGCCCCAGGGGCTTGTAGGAGCGCCCTGGGTGCCTTGGGGGAGCCTCTTCGGGCCTCTTGGGGGCCTCTTGGAGGCCGTTTGGGGCGTCTTGGGGGCGTCTTGGCGGCTCCAGGGGCTTCCAGGAGCGTCTTGGGTGCCTCGGGGGGGCCCCTTGGGGCCTCTTGGGGGCCTCTTGGGGGCATCTTGGGGGCCTCTTGGAGGCCTCTTGGGGCCTCTTGGGGCTCTTTTTTTGGGGGGGTCTGGGAGGACTCTTGGGGCCATCTGTCGGGCGATCGATCACAGATGGGGCGAGCATTTTTCTCCCTCCCCCCGTCGGGGCCAGAATCCTCGTGAGGGGTGTCGAATTTTAGCCCTCCCAGGAGTCGAAAAAGACACCTCCAACCACCCGCGAAACGCCCTCTCCAGGCCCAGGGGGAGGGGGTAGGGGAAGCGGTAAACCCCTCCCCGAAAGGGAAGAAGGGGGTTGAGAACAGAGCGGGCTCTCTAAACCACTCACGCCCAAAGGGCTGGTGGGATTACGCAGAACGCCCTTGCGTCCAAATCCACGGACCATCACTCGCACTACGTACAGACGAGAAGCACGACTGCATTTCGATGATCCCAGCACCAGTCCCTAAGTCACCGCAAGCAGACGAAAGAGCACGGCGACTGACGTGAACAGAGGGACGACGCCCTACCAGGTGATCGTCGAGTACATCACACGCGAGTGCATACATCCGACGGAGAGGCGGCAGGGCTATGTCACGACGGGATACAACAGACTACGATTCTGCTCGTTACTGACCAGAACGCTACTAGTGCAGATGCCATGCGCATCATCAACGGCATCGAGCGACAAGCGGAGCTACAACACAGACGCGTACGCATACTCACCGCAGCCAACCACGCGAGCCAGCAGCACAACCGAAAAACAGTTGACCACATCGACAGTGCGATCTACGATGTTATACTGACTGCAACAACCGACATCACCTACTACAAGAAGTCCACCCTGAGCATGGGAACAGCAATCAACTCCGCGACGAGCAACACCCGTGGGGTAGAAGAGACGCAAGCAGACACGATTGCACGACCTTCGCGGACGACAGCGCAAAGCTACGAAACGCCATCGCCCTCATATACACGTGCGTCGCACAAGACACGGCTTGCATGATAAACGTCGGACATATGACGACGACCGCCGAGAGCTACGACATCTGGAAATACATAACCTCATCACCACGACCGACCGAAACATTACCAGCAAGCCCTTCCTCAACTCCAGCGACGGCGGTGGCGATGCGATACGTATCCTGGCTGCGGCACGCGGAAGCAACCATACTGACGGAAATGAGACCAGTGACTTCAAAGAGTACGTCACGCACTACAACCGATACCACATGGACAGCGAGCAGACGAGTCCACTAGCGGACCCCGCAGCGCATAGCGCCGAAGGGTGGGGGACGCAGTGCTGTTGTACCATGGGGCCTCCGACGGTGCAGCGCAATCGCCGCGTTTTCCTGCCAGTAATATGGGCACAAAAACACCGTGCGAAACGACCGCTCCTCATGGCTCGGCAGCACCTCGCACGCAGAGCACACCGCCATCCAGAAGGCCCCCCTCGGCGGTGAGCGCGCCTACCCCCCGGCAAAAGGGCTTAGGGGTGATGGCGGCCGCCGAGGGGGGGAGAGGAGACGGGCCCCCTCTGACTAGGGGGCCCGCCGGGTTAGCCCGAGGCCATCGGGGGCCTTCCTTTTTCCCCCTCTCCTCTTTGAGCCCTGTTGGCCTGCTGGGCCTTTGGGGGCCCCTCCCTCCCTGCTTCCGCGGCTCTGCGGCCGCTCCCCTGGTTCCCTGGCCTGGCTCCTGGATTGGGGGCCCGTCGGAGTGCAAGAGAATGGCGCCTCGTCCCCCGTCCACCACCCCTGGCGTCAATTGCGTGCTGGTGGTCCTCGACACTATCGGGGTGGTGGGATGGGGGCCGACGGGCTTGTCGTTTCAGGCGGCCTGGTGGCCCCCGCCGCTCCTTCTCTCTCCGAGGGCCCTTGAGGCTTTCCTCCTTCTCTCCTTTCTGGCGGGGGTCTCCTGGGCCCCTGGGCCCGCCCTCCGAGGCGTCCTGGATGCTCCCGGAGGCCATCGGCAGCAGTTAGGGCCGCGCCGCGCGGGCGCGCGGCGCGGGCTGCGGCGGAACAGACCTCCTTTGGACCCGCAGCGTCAGGGGGAGGGGGAGGATGAGGAGGAGGAGGAGGAGGAGGAGGAGGAGGAGGAGGAGGAGGAGGAGGAGGAGGAGGAGAGGAGGAGGAGGAGGAGGAGGAGGAGGAGGAGGAGGAGGAGGAGGAGGAGGAGGAGGAGGAGGAGGAGGAGGAGGAGGAGGAGGAGGAGGAGGAGGAGGAGGAGGAGGAGGAGGAGGAGGAGGAGGAGGAGGAGGGAGGAGGAGGAGGAGGAGGAGGAGGAGGAGGAGGAGAGAGGAGGAGGAGAGGGAGGAGGAGGAGGAGGAGGGAGGGAGGAGGGGGGGGGAGGGAGGGAGGGAGGGAGGGAGGGAGGGAGGGAGGGAGGGAGGGAGGGAGGGAGGGAGGGAGGGAGGGAGGGAGGGGGAGGGAGGGAGGGAGGGAGGGAGGGAGGGAGGGAGGGAGGGAGGGAGGGAGGGAGGGAGGGAGGGAGGGAGGGAGGGAGGGAGGGAGGGAGGGAGGGGGAGGGGAGGGGAGGGAGGAGGGAGGGAGGGAGGGAGGGAGGGAGGGAGGAGGAGGAGGAGGGAGGAGGAGGGAGGAGGGAGGGAGGGAGGGAGGGAGGGAGGGAGGGAGGGAGGGAGGGAGGGAGGAGGAGAGGAGGAGGAGGAGGAGGAGGAGGAGGAGGAGAGGAGGAGGAGGGAGGAGGAGGGAGGAGGAGGGAGGAGGAGGAGGAGAGGGAGGAGGAGGGAGGAGGAGGGAGGAGGAGGGAGGAGGAGGGAGGAGGAGGGAGGAGGAGGGAGGAGGAGGGAGGAGGAGGGGAGGAGGAGGAGAGGAGGAGGAGGGAGGAGGAGGAGGAGGAGGAGGAGGAGGAGGAGGAGGAGGAGGGAGGAGGAGGAGGAGGAGGAGGAGGAGGAGGAGGAGGAGGAGGAGGAGGAGGAGGAGGAGGAGGAGGAGGAGGAGGAGGAGGAGGAGCAGGAGGGACCGTGTCAACCAAAAACTCTTCAGCGATGTTGGAGTAAACCCTCTCTCCAAGGTCCCTCGTCATGGGCCCCGACAGGACTCATTCCCCCTCAAGGGAATGCCCCGGTGGGAGACAACTGTTTGAAGATCCTGATTCGTGCCCAAACACCATTTTTGGGACTCCAACGCCACGACTCAACCTGACTTGTGCGTCTCTGCGATCCTGCATTGTACTAGAACGCCGTTCCTGGGACTCCAACTCCGCGAATCAACGTAAATGTTTCGCCTTGACATTCCTGAACCGCTCTAAAAAAACTTCTGATAAGTGTGCCATGTAAATTCGTGAACATGTTGCTATAACTGTTTCAATTTAATGTGCGCTGCGCCATTGCGAAAACCACATTTTGAAACGGAGCCGCCCTCAACCGTGAAATTCTTGCATCTGTTTCAGACGAGTGTGCGCGGCGTCGTTGCGAGAAGCACATATTGAAAACGGCCCGCCTTCAACCCGTGAAACTCTTGCATGTTTTGGAGACGAATGTGCGCGGCGCCAGATCGAGAGCCACATTTTGAAAACGGCCCACCTTCTATCTGTGAAACTGCTGCCACTTGGATCGTGCGACAGAGAGGAGTCACTAACGAGGACAAGGTTTGCAGGAATGGAGGAGGCATGCGGGGAGGCAGGAGGCAGACAAACAGTACCCCTGCAACGGGCAGTCGGGGCCAGACGAGGGGATCGTTTCGGTGGTGTCCATCAAGTCCACTGTGCTCTCCCAGGGGCGACTCTCCTTCTCCTTGTTTTCTCTCGACGTCGCCGCCTCACGGTGCAGCAACCTGCTGCTGCGCTGCGACTGGTTTCGCGCGTGGGGCTCGTCAATTCCGCGAAGGAGCTGCTGACGACAGCAGTGTGCGGGACTGTGCTCTCCCAGGGTCGACTCCCCTCCTCCGTGGACAGTGCTCGACCCTTTCAGGTCGACGTACACCCTGCGAAATGCTTTAGAAATCATGGGTTAAGAAATTCATAGTCTCAGAATTTGAAGAAAAACCCAGAATGTCTATTCAAATCTTGGGATTTACATTGAAACATTAAGAATAATCGAGCCTCTGGTCGAAAACTTGGGTTTTCTTAAGCATCGCCTAAAGTGTAGCCTTCGGACAGCCCCTGGGAGCAAGCGGGGAAAGGCGTGGGCAAGAGAGGGGGTCATGAGCGGGGCAGCAGGCCGGCTCACGCGAGGGGCGGCGGCAGCGGCGGTCAGCGGTGCTCGAGGGCGAGGGGCTGCCGAACGCCGGGGAAACGTAAGACTACTCGAGTGCGCCGGATCTTGAGCTCGCCGACTTGTTTTGACGAGCGCGTCTTGGGTTCCGACGGTTTCCAGTTTTCGTGGGATGCTTGCAGCGGGAGCTCGAATCAATTTTCAGACTGGGTCTCGTCATTTTCATGATGGCCCCGTCAGGCCAACCCGAGTCCCCCGAACCCGAGTTCTATGTCTCCGCGATTCGGAGGGACCATGAGTGGGGGAGGAGGAGGAGAAGGAGGAGGAGGAGGAGGAGGAGGAGGAGAAGGAGGATCAGCAGGAGAAGGAAGCTTCGAGGCTGGATGTGTTCGAACGTTCTCGTCGGCTCTCGTTGGTTCTGGCCTCGGGGGTGCCTTCCAGCCCGAGTCCCTCGAGCCCGACTCTTGCGTCTCCCCGGCGAGAGGACGTGCTTGGTTACTGGTCGACCAATGCGCAGCTGCTGAAGCTGGGGCTTGCGGCCGCCCTGGTCATCGCGCTCTGCTCATCTCAGCTCTGCCCTGCTGCGTGCCCCCGAATCCCCCTGCTGATGTTCAGCTGCGGGGGGAAAGGGCACCCGACACAATGACGCCGTCAGGGCGTACTTAGGATTCCGAGATCCCCATCTACTTCAAGCGCATTTCTATTTCAATACTCGATATGCTTTTCTGTGTTTTGTTATTCTCTTGGAGGGCCTGAAACCAGTCTACGTTATCCACCTTCATACTTCATGCTAATACCTACTTCTTCCGACCGACGTGTCATCTTCAGCTGCTGGGGGGGAGGACACGCGACATTTTGACGCCGTCTGGGCGCAAGACGGCCAGACATGCGGTGCCGCAGGCATTCGTGAGTAGTCGGCCTGGTATCAACAATGCACTGAGGGTCCAGTCTGGTCCCGTCCAGTCCTGCCCTCATCGCCGTGGGTTCTCTCCCCTTTCTGACCATCGGTTTCAATGGCGGTGCTCTACACGGCGACCTCCTCCAACCTATTCTGAAGTAGAGACGATACTCGCAGTTGCTCTCTATCCGAGTAGCTGTATCACATTTTTGTAACGAATGTGCGCGACGCGAATGCGAGAGACCGATTTCGAACGATATCTGTATGGAACTGCTGGAATGGAAACCTTTTGGATTCATGTGCGCGGCGCTAGGGCGAAAACGCCTTCTATACGTCTGAAGCTGTTGGGAAGCTTCGCGTGGAATGTTTGTGGGATTTTGACGAGAGCGGCGAGAGCCTGATTTAGAAGACAGTCCGCCGCCATCCGTGCAAACGTCAGTTTCTTCGCTCTAGCACGTGGACAGCACGTACCAAACAACACGTGTTGTCTATCCTACCGACACGTCTGGTAGAGCACCGCGAGGAGAGCTACTATTTTAGCGGCCTTAGGTCCATCTCACCATCTTGCCTTGGTTGTAGGCCAGATGCCTCTCGGATGCCTATTGGGTTCTCTTGGGGTGCCTTTGGGAAGCCTGTTGGAGGTAGTTTTGAAGTGTCTTTTTGGTCTCTCGGGGACCTCGTGGGGCCTCTGTTGGCCTTTTGGGGGGCTTTCCGGGGCTTCTTGGGGACCTTTTGGGGGCTTGATGGCGGTCTCGGAGGTTACCTTGGGGCGGAGGGCTCGACACGTCAGTTCGTGTTCAACCACTTGGGCTCCTCTTGGGGCCCTCTTGGGCCGCCTTGGAATCTTGGGCCGTCATGGGGTTCTGGGGCCCTCTTGGGGGCCTCTTGGGGGCCTCTTGGGCCATCTTGGAGCGTCGGTAGCTGGGACAGGCGAGAGCGCTGAAACCGTTCAAAACCCCATGGAAATCATGGATGTGTGCCTCTTGGGGCCCTCTCGGGGGTCTCCCAGAGCCCTCTGAAAGAGTCTTCGGGGCTTCTTGGGCCGTCTTGAGACTTTCTCTGGCGTCTGCGATCTTAAACCGTCTCGGTGCGATCATGGACCTTCTGGGGGATCTCCCGGGGCCCTCTTGGGGGTTCAGGTAATTTGGGACCAGCGCAGCGACCAGAGAGCTTTCGCGAAAAAAACAAAACACGTTTAGAACTTATCAGGGAACCAGACGTCCTGGCCGTTACGAATGTTTTAGGACCTTGAACTGTATGAGCCTTGGGCCCTTCACTTCGTGCTGAAAGCACCATGGCTTATAATAGAAGGGATGGAGGAGGAGCAGGAGGAGGGAATGGAGGAGGAGGAGGCGGAGGAGGAGTAGGATGATAAGGAGCAGCAAGATGAGGAAAAGGGGGAGGGAATGAGGAGGAGGAGGAGGAAGAGGATGAAGAGGAGGAGGAGGAGGAGGCAGAGGAGGAGGAGGAGGAGGAGGAGGAGGAGGAGGAGGAGGAGGAGGAGGAGGAGGAGGAGGAGGAGGAGGAGGGGGGGAGAGGAGAAGAAGGAGCAGGAGGCGGAGCGGGCAGAAGAAGCAGGAGGAACCAGCGAGGTCGGGATTGGGTTGATTGTTTCCTTTTTACCCCCTCCGCGCGTAGGCCGACAGCCACGCGCCTCGACGCAGATCGTGCCAGCGCGGCGCGACCCGATGCATTTCGAAATGCTCCGCCGTGCCTTGGCACAGTTTCCCAAATGTCCGAACGCCTCCTGCGAAGGGAGGAAGAGAATGGTCGGAGGGCACCAGCGATACACCAACACCGATCCTGGCCCAGGATCACCCTGGGCCCAGGATCGGTGTATATGCCTTCTTGACCAAGGCAGGAGGGCGTATACACCGATCCCGGGCCCAGGGTGATCCTGGCCAGGATCGGTGTTGGTGTATAGTGGGTGCCTTCCTAAATGGGTGTCCGCGGTCCGGTCGGTTCGGCTGCGTCGCAGTCGGCTGCGTTCGCTCGGCGCAGTTCGGTAAAAGCAGCTGTGCCGGTGCGGTGTCGCCGCGCCCCTTTGGGCTGCCTGAGGCCTGCTGGCTTCGGTCTGTTTCGATTTCGCTGTCCTTGACATCGCTCGGACGTGTGTATTTTTTTCTCGGCGAGGATCCTTGAGGAACACCCTGGATCATCGAGCGAAAAAAACACGCACGAAAACGAAACATGCACGGGAAATGGACGTCCGAGCGACGGCAAGTGTCGGTTCTGTCGATTTTCGGTTGCATCGTCGCCGTGGACACCCTTGAGGAGGAGGACGACGACAAGCAAGAGAGCGCGGCAATCTCTCCGGCAGCTCGGATGCTTCCTTCTGGGCTGGTCGCTGGGCCCCCCATCGCCCTTTTCGGTTCGATGGGGGATCTCAGACGTTCATTATCCCTCCGGGACCCCAAACTTTATTATCCCCCGGGTGTTATTAACGGGGGCATCTGGTTAGCGCCGTTTAGCTCGGATTTGGCGTCGACTATCGCTGGCTTTATAGAATCGATGAGCGCCGATTCGCAAGAGCCAGCAAGCTGGCATGGGAGGCCTCCATGTGTTGCCGTAGACCTTTTCGATGCGTGGGGGATCCAGCGAACAGGAACAGGCAAGCAGGAGGTGTGTACAGTCGGGGCGCTGAAGAAGGAACCCTTTTCATTGGGGAGGGGCTCCGTGTTCCTTAATTGTTTCGCAGCTTGCCTTAGGTTTTCCTTAGGTTTTCGATATGAAATCGAAGTTTATCTTATGGAAAATAGGGGCCTCGTTCCTTACTGTACTGGAAGTCTGCTCCTGGTCATGGCCCCTGAGCTCGCAGCGCTCGTAGTAGCGGCCTCCTCCGCGCATGGCCCTCCGGCGGTGCATCCATGGGCAGGGCAGCCTCGACTTCCTCCTCTTCCTCACCGTTCCTCCTACTTCCTCCCTCAAGCCATCCTGCCTCCTCCGTCCGTCCACTATCCACCAAGTTCTCCCTCCTCCTCCACCTCCATTCTCCTGTTCCTGGGGGGAGGACGGGGTGGGTGTTCTCTTGGCCTCCCATCTTTTGCGCCCCCTGGAGTCGGTTGCTGCTGTTACCGATGAGCGCTGCGAGCGACCTGCCGAACCAGCAGTGCCTAAATAGCTGCTATTGTCAATCGTCTGCTCTGCCAAAGTGTTCGCAGTCACGCGACAGCCAGCGGGCATGGGCTCTTCGATTGCAGTCCATCACTAAATTTGCTGCGTCTTTCTTGGCGCGAACTTGCCCACTTCGTTTCGATGTTCACATCCGTCGTGCGTGTTAGCAGCGCGACAGTGCTTGAATCTGTGGGACAGCTTGCGAGACGTTGCCCACCACCGCCGTCGCCAGTCATGGCATGGGGAGGGAGGATGGAGGACGGGGAGGCGGTGGAGATTCGCGACGGTGCAGACTCTACTGGAAGTTCCATTGACGAGCAGGCGTCTTATTTCTCTTGTCTGCAGTGCCTGCAATATATAAGCCTTGAGGACGCGTCGGCAAACGCAATGTGGCACGGAGGTCCTTGCTGTACCCATGTGCCCGCGATGGATCCGCCGCCATGCCCAGCGAAGCACTCTGTGTGGTGACCCTTCGAGCACTGCCAACAAGGCCGTCGCATGTAACACCTCTTGTCTCCTCGCATTGAGAAGCTTGTGGGGCTTATTTGGGATGTTTTGGGCCCGTCTTGGGCTCCTGCGGGGCAATCTTCGGGGTCCCCCTGGGGACCTCCTCGGTTGTTCTGGGGCCCTCTTTGGCAGTCTCCAGTCCCTCCTGGGCCGTCTGAGCCAATGTTTGCCGTCTGGGGGTGTGTTGGGGCCGTCGTGGGGCCGTCTTGGGGTGCTCTCGGGCCGCGTTGAGGCCTTCGCCTATCTTGGGGCCTTCTAAGCCCAGCTCGGGAGGCCGTCTTGGGCAGTCCAGGGGTCCTCATTAGGCTCTCGAAAACCGCAAATGGAGCGAGGTTCGGCCGAAGGGCGTGGTTAGCGTACTTGATTCAAACACATACGCGGAGCCCATGTTTTTGGTAGCCTCTCGAGGTCCTCCTGGAGAGCCTCTTAGGTGTGTCTCGGAGCTACTACTACTACTACTACTACTACTACTACGACTACTACGACTACTACGACTACTACGACTACTACGACTACTACTACTACTACTACTACTACTACTACTACTACTACTACTATTGATAATAATACCAATGATAATATTAATACTACTATTTCTACTACTACTATCACCACTACTACTACTACTACTACTACTACTACTCCTACTACTGCTACTCCTACTGCTACTGCTACTGCTACTGCTACTGCTACTGCTACTGTTACTGCTACTGCTACTGCTACTGCTACTGCTACTGCTACTGCTACTACTACTACTACTACTACTACTACTACTACTACTACTACTACTACTACTACTACTACTACTACTACTACTACTACTACTACTACTACTACTACTACTACTACTACTACTACTACTACTACTACTACTACTACTACTACTACTACTACTACTACTACTACTACTACTACTACTACTACTACTACTACTACTACTACTACTACTACTACTACTACTACTACTACTACTACTACTACTACTACTACTACTACTCTGGGTGCTGGGAGAGCTGGCCGAGGGGGCCTCAGAAGACTGCTACACATCAGGAAACGCGCCACGGGACATGGTACCGGACGCGCCAGGGGATGCGCAAGGAGCCGCCGTAAAGCAAAAACGAGGTCTGGGCTTCTGGTGCCTCCCGGGGCCTCCCGGGGCCTCCGGGGGGCCCTACATCACAGCGCTGTCAAGCCCACCGCGCCTCCATGTGCCATGGGGCACGGTGGCAGAGCTCCCTCGGCTCCCCGGCAAAGGCCAGGGGATAGCCCGGCGACCAGTCCCCCGGCCGCCCGCGCCCAGGTCATCACGGTCCCCGCCCTGCTGCCTGGGCCCGAGTTGGCTCCGATCTGCGGTATCTGTTCCGGGCGCTCCGCCGGTGATCGGCGAGCAACTCGGCCTCGGGACCAGGCGGGGCGGAGTGCGGATCCACGGGTGGACGAGCAGAGGCACGGGGTGTCGGTCGAGGGGGGCTCCAGGTGTCGATTGAGTCAGATGTTGGTTCCCCCCCTATCTCCCCCCCCACAACCTCCTTATCACCCGAAAGGTGGTCGTTTAGGTATAGAGAGAGAGAGACAGATAGAGAGAGAGAGACATATAGAGAGAGAGAGAGAGAGAGAGAGAAAGAGAGAGAGAGAGAGGAGAGAGAGAGAGAGAGAGAAAAGAGAGAGGAAAAGTAGAGAGAGAGAGAGAGAGGGAAGATGGGCGGGGCAGTTGTGGGATAACTCTCTGAGCCCTCATGTCGCCCCTTGGGGCGTTTTGGAGGCTCTTTTCGGGTCCTTCAGGGCTGTTTGGGGCCGTCTGGGGTGTCCTGGGACCTTCTGGGGGACCTTCTGGGGTATGTATTCTGGTTCTGCCGTCTTGGCAGCTTCTTGGGCGGGGTTGGGAGGAGCATTCCAGCGAAGCCCGAGCAGTGCGTGCGCCGAGGTTGGAGCAGTATGGCTTGCTCATGGTCGTGTATGTGGCCAGCATTGTTTCCATCGGTCTGCTAACGACCGTTCTGCAGGCTCTCCTGAGGCTTCTCTCGTAAGCATGATGATGCAGGTTGTTGCGTGAAGTCAGCGTGCGCACGTCGGTGGCACACGCGATTGTCGGTTGCACTGAAAGAGCGTTTCCTGTTGTCGCTTGATGGGTTGGGGGGTCCCTCTGGTACTCTCCATGACGGTGCTGGCCCTCTCGAGTCTCCATGCCCCAAACAGTGGATGGAGAAGTCGAGTCCCCCCGCCTTCCCCCCCGAAAAGTTCTGGGGGAGAGGGGTAGACCCTCCCTCTAACTTTGCGCGCGGGCAGGCGACTACGAACACGACGACGGCGACGACGCTGACGCCGACGACGACAAAGACCACGATGACGACGACGTCTAGGCAGGACGGCGACAGTGGCCGTCGTTGACGACGACGACTACGTGACGAAGACGATGCGTCCGACGCTGACGTCTCTAACGACGGCAATGGTGGCGACGACGCTGACAGTCACCAGGACGACGAAGGGTGTCGTCTACGGAGCGGGCTTTGGATTTAATCCTCCGTCTGCCCACCCGATTAATGTCCTTCTCGCCCGTCCCGTCCGTAAAGGTCCTGCCCATCCGACCCGCCCATTAGGGCCTTGCCCGCTCGAAGGCTTGAAAGCCCAGCCGCCCGCTTTCCTGGCCCGTCCGGCTGACCCGCCCATGAGGGTCCCGACCTGCCCGTTAGGGTCCCGCCCGCCCGAGCCACTCGTCAGGTTCCAGCCCACCGCTGTTCGTCGTGGTCATCGTCGGCGTCGTCGTCATCGTGTCCTTCATCGTGGTGGTCGTCGTCGTCGTCGTCGTCGTCGCGTTCGTCGTCGTCGTCGTCGTCGTCGTCGTCGTCTCGTCACGTCATCGTTGTCGTCGTCGTTGTCGTCGTCGTCGTTAGCGTCGTCGTCTTCGTTCTTGCCGTCAGCGTCGTCGTCGTCGTCGTCGTCATCGTCGTGGTCGTCGTCGTCGTGGTTTTCCTTAGGTTTGTGGTCGTGGTGCGTTAGCGCCAGCGTCGTCGTCCCCAGGTTGACGTGAAAGAGTGGGGGCCGGGTGGGTGGGAGTGTTGTACCCCCTCCGATGTTTGAGGGGGGTGGGTCCTGATGGGAATCCGACAGGGGACCTTTAGATTCCTCTACGACCTCAGCAAGAACTATTTTCCTGGCGGACTCATTCGACAGCAAAGCGCCCACAAAACCTGTGCTGGATGGTGTCCCTGCAGCGGCCACAAAGACGGCACAGGAGCTGGGTGTCCTCGTGGACTTAAACCTAAGCTGGCGGCTTGGCCAGCAGTCCAAGCACCACAACATCTGAGGTTCCTGATGGATTTCTGTTCCTGGGCCATGAACTTCAGGGACCGAAGGTGAGATTTCAAAGCATCAAATCAAGCACGGCCCCATCCGAGGCCACGCTTCTCCCCAACCTGAACCTCGATGTCCCTGCCAACCGCACTCCTGAGAATGTTTGTCAAACGCTCTGGGCTGATGACAGTGAGCGAAGCAGCTATGCTAGCATGTGAGACGAGCGTGGCGTAGTTGAGCACAGACCAGCCACGCCGCCTGACAGAACTGAATAGAGCAGTGATCGGCCCGTTGATCGATCTCCAAGATGACGGCTCTAGCTTTCCTTGAAATGCAGTGCGCCAGCAGCCCTGGAGTTCACGATGCGTCATGCCGCCAATATACTTGTGAAATTGCGCAGCCCACGCATCGTTCCCCCCATCTTTCATACCATAGTAAACGGGATGGTCCTCGCAGATTAGAGTTGAAGAGAGACGGAGGCCGCAACAAACAGATCAAATTTGCCAGCTTGACGCCTGATGTGACCAAGTTCGCAGTCGCTGACCCCGCCGTGGATCACGCACCCGAAGTTGAGCCCTTCAGAGGCTCCCCCAAAGGATCATTTTCTTAGCAGAAAGGCCGAGGATGTGACGCTGCTTGCGGATCTTGCTGACACGCTTATCGAACATGACATGTCGTTGGTTAGCCGTCTGCCACCTGCGGCGATCACGTCTGGCTCTACCTGCTGTGTCGTCCGTTCCTAGGTTTGCAGCAGAAGGCGTGCACCCTAGGCCAGCCAAAACTCGAAGAAAAGACTGCAGCTTAGACCCGAGATGACGCTGACTACACACCAGGCTGGCCTTGCCAGGCGCCACATGGCACTTGATATCTGCACGGGAGAGCCCAACGGCATAGGTGTAATTCGCCTTGTAGCCGGCACACCCACGTCGTCAATGTACAGATCGAGGCTAGCACAGGGCTTGAGACAAACCGTGGGGAACGCTGTCATGTAGTAGACCCTCACGGAGCTAGTAGCAATATTACAACCAGCAACCACACCACGGATAGCCAGGACATATATCCGTTGATGCCAATGTAGCGGAGAACATTGTAGGCAGTAAGACACAGTGTTCAGACAACCATCGGGGAACCAGTCTCGATGCATCTAGCTTCTAAGCCTCTAAGGCACATGGTCTCGTCACATTCGAACATGTCCCGCAATTACGTGTCTGAGTATTTGCCTTGACGAACTGCCGACTCGCTGCGTGCTGCCTGTCGCCAGCAAACACCAGACGCAGACTTGAAACCATTACCCGCAAGACGGCAGTGGATGTTCGCCTCTTTCCACCTTACTGTTTCACTCCTCCTTACCTTGCCTCATAAGCGATACGGCGAGGTGAACATGCCGATGGGTCGAAATCTTTCAAGGGGCTTCGGCAGCATTGCAAGCATGACCAGCCTGAGCTGGCTGGGCAACTCAGACAGTGCCTCCAAGATGACGAAAGGAAGACAGGCGACCGTCAGGGCGGGATCACATAGCTACGAGTAGTGCCTGAGATGGAAACTCTCGACATACACAGCCAACCTCTTGGAATAGCCCCTTCTCTTCTCACGTCTGACAAGCGGCTCGACGAAAGTCACCGAGCATGGTAGAGACATCGCCGATGAGCTCAAGCGAGGTGAGCTGCCTAGAGAGAAATTCTAGGCCGCGCTCGTACGCAGGCCTGAGGCTGGGGGAGTGGAAGAGCCCCTTCAGGGACTCACACGGGGAACACAGGATCTGAGTAGCCTCCAAAGAACCTCCAGGACGCTTGCCTTCAGCGGCCCTCCCAGTCGTGGTCTTGCCCCGAAAGGGCTGCGAACGCCATCGGCACGCACATGAGATATGGTGACGGCTAGGTCTCTGATCACGGCCTAGATCAGGAACCCACCAAACCCGAGGAAGAGGTCCACCGCATCCGTCTTTGGGGGGGGGGAGGGTGACCCGGAGATGCTCCGCTAAGTGGGCTCAACATTCGTAACGCTCAGGAATCCCAAGGAACGCCTCCGATGAGCCCCTCCGAGCGCATCCCACGACAGTTTTGGCAAACTGAACAAGGTGGCTCCCAGTACTTGGGCTTAGGGCCTGGACCGACAACATCGACTGGCAGATGGGGGGGGGCTTGCGTAATTGCAGCACAGTCAGGGGCATGGAGCTCCATCATAGCTGGGAGCTCTGGCGCTGAGGGGGCATGCTGGTCGACCAAATGGCCTTAACGCACTTCGAACACCCACTGGCCACGGCGAAATACTCATGCCCCCTTCCACCTCCTGAGCTCAGACAAGTGCGAATGGCTGACGCGACCAGTTGAGCTCCGTGCTGCTAGGTGAAAGACCATGTAAGGGGCCCCGATGGCGCCATGTTGAGAACTCCTCACATAACGAAGCTTTCCAGACGGCTGAGCGAATGTCGGACAACAGAGCGAGGTTGGATTCAGATAACCCCTCGCAGTGGTGCAAGTATCAAAAGGACGCACAGGATGGGTGCATGAGGTCGAACATGAAGGTAAGCATCTACAGCCCTGAACTCCTCGACCAACAACCTCCAGCAGACCAGTGCAGCCCGACGTGCAGTGACAGCAACACCAGCCGGAGCGCCAGACTCCGACGTTCCTTTCGCTCGAACATTGACCGACTTGACTTCCATCCGTGATTAAGGGCCCAGCGCTGAGCATCAGGGACTTGAGCGGGGAGGAGACTGTGCTCCTGGAGGGGCACCACTTGCGCCGTCGTCTGCAAGATCCAGTCCTAAGCAGAACTCAGGGCCGTGCAATTGCAGCCCACTCACCAGGTTACTGGCATCCCCCCCGGGCCGGGGGGAACATCACTAGTTCAGAACTGTCCGAGCTCCTTAGAAGACGGGGAGGCGGCTTGAGAGGTTAGCGGAAGAGGCCGCCAGAGAATTTCCCACACACATAGGTGTATTACCAACCCTCCTTGGTTGGGTATTCGTTTTGAATTAGCATTGTGGTCGCGTGTTTCTCTTCCTTCCCGTTTCCGTCTTGTCTGCTCTTGTTTTGTGCGTACTTAGTGTGTGTGTGTGTGTGTGTGTGTGTGTGTGTGTGTGTGTGTGTGTGTGTGTGTGTGTGTGCATCCTGGCTGCGGTACCTGATGTGTGCGCATCTTGCCAAGGGGCTGCGATCTGTGACATTGTCGCCACTTTTGAGGGTTGCTGGTGGGTCCTGCGGAGTGAGGCACCGCGGGGATCTGAGCGGGACCTCGCCGTCCCTGGGGGGCTGAGATCTGTGACGTTGTCGCCCTTTTCGAGGGCTGCTGGTGGGTCCTGCGGAGGGAGGCACCGCGGTGACCTGAGCGGGACCTCGCCGTCCCTGGGGGGCTTCCATCTGCGACGCTGTCGCCACTTTCGAGAGCTGCTGGTGGGCCCTGCGGAGTGAAGCACCGCGGGGACCTGAGCGGGACCTCGCCGTCCCCGTCCCTGGGGGGGGGGGCTGCGATCTGTGACAGTGTCGCCACTTCCGAGGGCTGATGGTGGGTCCTGCGGAGTGAGGCACCGCGGGGATCTGGGGGGACCTCGCTGTCCCTGGGAGGCTGCCATCTGCGACGCTGTCACCACTTTCGAGGGCTGCTGGTGGGTCCTGCGGGGTGAGGCACCGCAGGGGACTTGAGCGGGACCTCGCTGTCCCTGAGGGGCTGCGATCTGTGACATTGTCGCCACTTTCGAGGGGGCTGCTGGTGGGTCCTGCGGAGTGAGGTACCGCTGTGATCTGAGCGGGACCTCGCCGTCCCTGGGGGGCTGCGATCTGTGACATTGCCGCCACTTTCGAGTGCTGTTGGTGGGCCCTGCGGCGTGAGGCACCGCGGGGACCTGAGCGGGACCTCGCCGTCCCTGGGGGGCTGCGATCTGTGACAGTGTCGCCCTTTTCGAGGGCTGCTGGTGGGTCCTGCGGAGTGAGGCGCCGCGGGGATCTGGGGGGACCTCGCCGTCCCCGGGGGGCTGCGATCTGTGACATTGCCGCCACTTTAGAGGGCTGTTGGTGGGTCCAGCGGGGTGAGGCACCGCGGTGACCTGAGCGAGACCTCGCCGTCCCTGGGGTTCTGCGATCTGTGACGCTGTCGCCACTTTCGAGGGCTGCTGGTGGGTCCTGCGGAGTGAGACACCGCGGGGACCTGAGCGGGACCTCGCCTTCCCGGGGGTGGCGGGGGGGGCTGCGATCTGTGACAGTGTCGCCACTTTCGAGGGCTGCTTGTGGGTCCAGCGGGGTGAGGCACCGCGGAGACCTGAGCGAGACCTCGCCGTCCTTTGGGTGGCTGCGATCTGCGACACTGTCGCCACCTTCGAGGGCTGCTGGTGGGTCCAGCGGAGTGAGACACCTCGGGGACCTGAGCGGGACCTCGCCGTCCCTGGGGGGGCGGCTGCGATCTGTGTCAGTGTCGCCATTTTTTCGAGGGCTGCTGGTGGGTCCAGCGGGGTGAGGCACCGCGGTGACCTGAGCGAGACCTCGCCTTCCCTGGGGTGGCGGGGGGGGGCTGCGATCTGTGACATTGTCGCCACTTTCGAGGGCTGCTGGTGGGTCCTGCGGAGTGCGGCACCGCTGGGACCTGAGCGGGACTTCGCCGTCCCTGGGGGGGGGGGGCTGCGATCTGTGACAGTGTCGCAACTTTCGAAGGTTGCTGGTGGGTCCAGCGGGGTGAGGCACCGCGGGGACCTGAGCGAGACCTCGCCGTCCCTGGGGGGGGGCTGCGATCTGCGACACTGTCACCACTTTCGAGGGCTGCTGGTGGGTCCTGCGGAGTGAGGCACCGCGGGGACCTGAGCGAGACCTCGCCGTCCCTGGGGGGCTGAGATCTGTGACATTGTCGCCTTTTTCGAGGGCTGCTTGTGGGTCCAGCGGGGTGAGGCACCGCGGGGACCTGAGCGGGACCTCGCCGTCCCTGGGGGGCTGCGATCTGTGACATTGCCGCCACTTTAGAGGGCTGCTTGTGGGTCCAGCGGGGTGAGGCACCGCGGTGACCTGAGCGAGACCTCGCCGTCCCTGGGGGGCTGCGATCTGCGACACTGTCGCCACTTTCGAAGGCTGCTGGTGGGTCCAGCGGAGTGAGGCACCGCGGTGACCTGAGCGGGACCTCGCCGTCCCTGGGGGGCTGCGATCTGTGTCAGTGTCGCCATTTTTTCGAGGGCTGCTGGTGGGTCCAGCGGAGTGAGGCTCCGCGGGGACCTGAGGAGGAGGAGGAGGAGGAGGAGGAGGAGGAGGAGGAGGAGGAGGAGGAGGAGGAGGAGGAGGAGGAGGAGGAGGGGTAGACGAGGCAGGAGCAGGAGCAGGAGGAGGAGGAGGAGGAGGAGGAGGAGGAGGAGGAGGAGGAGGAGGAGGAGGAGGAGGAGGAGGAGGAGGAGGAGGATGAGGGGGCCTCCTGGGAGCCCATTCTCCCGGGGCCTCCCGGCGGCTTCCTGGGGGCCGCTGGAGGGTCTCTTGTGGGCCTCCTGGAGCATCCTGGAGCCTCTCAAGTCGGCTTGGCCTTCGGAGGAAGTCTTGGGGGCCTCACTCGGCCGTCTTGGGGCATTCCTGGGGCGCCTTGGGGCCATCTTCGATGTTTCTGGGGCCGACTTGGGGCTGTCTTGGGGGCCTCTTGGTCCGTCTTTGGGCCCTCTTTGCCTGTCTTGACGCCCTCTTGGTGGCTTTTGGGGCCGTCTCGGGGCTAATTTGTAGGCCTCCGGCTGTTGGAAGTGCGAAGTCCAAAAAGGCGCAAATACGAAACGAATTCATATACGGGCCTCGGAACAAATTAGCGAACACTCATGCCACATTCATCCGTCAACGCCTCCTCCTCCGCCCAATGTTCAAGGTTGGCGGTGGGTCTGATGAGATGCCTTCGACCGCAGTGTCCCCCGCGCGTGCATTGAGTTTGGGGGAGGGGAGTGCTCAGTAATTGTTTCCCTCTACCGTATCAACGACATATCAATTATGTTTGCCTATCGGGGTTCTCCTGGAGGGCCTGTTGGGACCCTCTTGGGCCGTAGCGGGGGCCTCTTGGGCCGTCTTGGGGACCCTTTGGGGCTGTCTTGGAGGCATACTGGGCCATGTTGGGCCATCTTGGTCGTCTTATAGGCCACTTGGGGAATGTCAGATGCCATTTGGGGCCTTCTTGCCTGTCGTGAAGGCCCTCTTGGAGCCATCTTTCGCGGAACAGCACAGGGAATGCTGCTCTTGTGCCGCCTCCCGGGCCACCAGCGGGTAGGACCAGAGGCCGCTGGGAACCTCTGGCAGGACCAGCAATGAAAAACATCCACTCGCCAAGCATCCTCATGCAAGCAAGGGTGGGCGGTGGATATAGTGGGCTTCGGCCCAACCCGCCACCAGGCCTGGGTCGTTGACCCGATGCCTCTGAGCGGCCTCTTGGGGTTGCTGGTCACCTGGCGGGCCTCTCTGGGCTTTCTTTGTGGCGTCCTCGGGAGCGTCTGGGAGCCTCTGGGAACCTCTTGGGAGCCTCTGGGAGCCTCTTGGGAGCCTCTGGAGCCTCTTGGGAGCCTCTGGAGCCTCTTGGGAGCCCCTGGGAACCTCTTGGGAGCCTCTGGGAGCCTCTCGGGAGCCTCTGGAGCCTCTTGGGAGCCTCTGGGAACCTCTTGGGAGCCTCTTGGGAGCCTTCTGGGAGCCTCTTGGGAGCCTCTGGGAGCCTCTTTTGGGGGGTTCTCGGGTGCCCGGCATCGGTCCAGGATGGAGGAGGAGGAGGAGGAGGAGGAGGAGGAGGAGGAGGAGGAGGAGGAGGAGGAGGAGGAGGAGGAGGAGGCGGAGGAGGCGGAGGAGGAGGAGGAGGAGGAGGAGGAGGAGGAGGAGGAGGTGATCTTGGGCCGGACGGCTCCGAAGGTCAGTCCGCGATCCTTCGCTCTCTGGGCCGCCTCGGGGGCCGCCTGGCCCCCGTCGTCGGGACCTCGGGTTCAGTCGGGCCTGTCCCTCTGCAGGGGGATTCTACACAGATAGCCAAAACAAATACTACGGTGACTATTTTCTAAGTATTTTGGAGCAGTTTCGTTTTTGTTGTGTATGTGTTGTTTTGTAAAAAGACAACTATTGTCCTACCTAGGCTCTGCCTAGAAGGGTTCTTACTCTCTGTGCTTAAAGGGCCGGGCAGTGTAACGCGCCCCGGCCGGTTCCCCCGGCATCCGCCCCGCAGTTCCCAAAGTTATGCCCCCTTAGCTTGGCGTTTGCTTATCTCATCTTAGCTTAGCTTATTTCATCTTAGCTTAGCTTAGCTTCATCTTAGCTTCATCTTAGCATACCATATCACAGCATATCATAGCATAGCGTAGCATATAATTGCGCAGCACAGCATATCATAGCATAGCCCAGCATATCATAGCATAGCATAGCATAGCATAGCGCAGCACAGCACAGCACAGCATATCACAGCGCAGCATAGCATAGCATAGCATAACATATCATAGCATAGCATAGCGTAGCATGGCGCAGCTTAGCATAGCATAGCATAGCTTAGCATAGCACAGCGCAGCCTGACATCGCATAGCTTATCATGTCATATCATAACATAGCATATCATATCATAACATAGCGCAGCATAGCATAGCATAGCATAGCGCAGCATCGCACTGCATAGCATAGCATAGCATAGCAACTAATGCTGTTTTCCTAGGGGCTCCAACTTCTAGGTATGGTCGCACTGGGGTAATTTTTATGTTTCGTCCAAAATCTGCCTGTAGGGGGACACGCCCGACCTAAACCTTGGGAGTCGTTTGGGGGCGGTTTTTCAGGGCTTTTTGGGCAGTCTTGGGCGCCAGCAAAGCCGAGCATACGGACAGCACCAGCACGGCCCCCAAGAGAGCACCAGCACGGGCCCCATGAGAATGTCTTGGAGCATGTTCGAAGTCAAGACCCGCACCCACGCTCCCAATCTATTTAGGGTCAGGGTGCATCTCACATGTCTTTTCAACTCAGTGCAGGTCGTAGTCCTGATTTACACGGGCGGGCGAATCAGGCAGTTGCTTTGACAGGCCTTAGATTGAGCACAATGGGAGCCAGAGCATGATAATTCTCCTCCACTCTGAGGTGCAGTGGAGAACGAAGGTCCTCAGCAGTTTCGGACATTGGCGTCTCCTCGTCTCGAGAGCCCAGAGCTGCACACCCATGGTGGCTTGATGGCCCACAGATTCGGACGGGTCGCGCGTCGGAGCTGGGGGGCGAAGGCTCGCGGCGTGCAGCGGGGGCCCGTCTCCGGGGTGCCCTCGTGGCCGGCGCCCCCGCCCGTGCCCGAGGAGCCCGCCGACGACACGCCGGGGGAGGTGAACTTGGCAATCGAGATGGTGGCCGGCGAGCCCGAACTCACCGCCTGCCCCCCCCACCCCCACTCGGGGGCGGAAATGAGGGGGGTGATGATCAGGGGGGGGGGTGGATATATCATGGCGGGGGCCACGATGTTTCCCAGATTTCATGGCGCCTCCTCTTGTTTCATTGCGTCCCTGGCCCCCCCGCTGGGCCGCGCAGATGCCGACGGTCATGACTTACACCCCCCCCTCTCTTGGACACCCCCCTCTTGGCCGCTCCCGACCCACAGGGTTCGGGGGACTCGGGGTGCAGCGTCCTGAGTTGCGGCCCGGCGCGGGATCCTGCCGCCCTCGCCGGAGGCACGGGTCCGGGCCAGCATCCGGGGCCCTCGAGCCAGCGTGCTCGAGGCTCTGCGCGCTCCTGCGCCGATCGGCACCGCTTGTGTGTTCGATCTCCCCCGGCGACGTGCACTCGCCCTCCCAGTTTGGGCTTCGGCCTCCTCCACGCCTCGACCCTCCTCCACTCTTCCCCCTTCACCCGTCCCACCTTCGCGCCACCACCCCATCCCCCCTCCCTCGAGTCTCCTCAACAAGCACTCCAACTGAACCGTGGTTCTCCTGCTGCAGCGTTGGCCTTGCTTCGGGATCGGTGTTTTGTCTCCGTCCTTCGGAGAAAAAAAGGTGCTCTTGTCTCCACGCAGTCCAAATTTCTGGATCCGAGTCCTTCCTCGTCGTTGTCGCCTCCCTCCTTCCCTTCCTCCGCTTTCCCCTGGTACTGCTGCTCTTCCCGTTCCTGTTATTTCTGCTGTTTCTCCTCCTCACTTTTCCTTACCATTCCCTTTTATCCTGCTCTTCCTCCTCCTCCTCCTCCAGCTCCTCCTCCTCTGTCTCATCCTCCTCCTCCTCATTCTCCTCCTCCTCCTCCTCCTCCTCCTCCTCCTCCCTCTCCTCCTCCTCCTCCTCCTCCTCCTCCTCCTCCTCCTCCTCCTCCTCCTCCTCCTCCGCTTCCTCCCCCTCCTCCTCCGCCTCCTCCCCCTCCCCCTCCTCCTCTGGAGCCTCTGGAGCCTCTGCGGACGCAATCCCTCAGTGAAAGACTGGCCCGATGGGGAAAATTCATGGACTGGGAAGGGGCGCCCCACAAACTTCTTGGATGTGGGATCCATGCCCTGGCGCATGTACTTCAAAGCCCCAGCCTTCCCCGTCCCAGCAGAGCGGAGGCAGCGCGCGGCCAAGTCCTTGACCAGCTTCCGCGCGTGGCACCCGCACTGCATGCAGAAATACAAATCCGAGCCGATCACCCACATTCGATGAGTCTCGTGCGTCCGCGCAAGCACTCTCGGCTTGCCTGGACGCTGATTCTGGATGATCGCACTTCGACGAGCAGCATTCACTCCACAAATTCGGCATCCCAACCTGCCGTCAGCTGTGTGCAGCAGGTGGCCTCGATCTCCCGTGGTGAGTTTTAGCACACACAGGGGTTCCTCGCCTACCATCTGGATCTTGCTTGGGGACCTTTGTAGCCCTCGGGACCTTATCTACATCTGGAAACCCTACACTACTGAGACGCTTCAGAGAGCCTGCCAGGAGCCTCGTGAATTGCCTACCGAAGTTTCTATAGCCCCCAACGTCGCATACTTATCAGCCTGCCAGTTTCCAGGGTACCAGGAGTCCGAGAAATCGTGATTCCTGAGCCATGTCCTACTGTTGTGCGACGGCATCCACTGAAGATTCACATTTTCCGAACCTGCGTCATTCAACTTCCAGAATACAAGTCGCCAGTCTTCCCAAGAAGGTTCTGAAACTCTGCACATCTGCTCGGGGCCCTTCTGGAGACCTATCAGGAGACTCTTGTGGTCCGTGATTACAGTCGCCCTGGGCCCCATGAGACACAACGCCATGTAGAACGCGTAGTGCTCTGCCACGCCCGCACTCTGCACGGGCCCTGGCACTGGCCCGTAGGCCACCGCTGAAGCTTGCTCGCTGCAGTGCTTGAGAGAACTGACCGCCCATCCTGCCCTCGTCATCCACTCCACATCTGGGTTGACTCCCGATCCGTCTGTAAATATCTCTTCCCCGAGGTAACCACAGCCTAGGAGACCGCGCTGAGGACATTCGTGTTCTTGCAAGGGCGGAGGCATGGCGTCTCTCATACTGTCTGTGACCCAAAGTCGACTAAGCAGTTCCCTGGAAACTCACGACCGATCGACACGACCTCATCACATCCTTGATCACGACGCCATGCCTCTAAGCCGTCGCATCCGTAAAGTCGGTGAGACATCGTGCCTGAAGGATGTCCGCACCACCTGCAGGCGGACGTCAAGGAATACCGCTCATCGAAAATCTTTGGCTGCGTCCACAGTCCGCCTGACATGTGTATTGAAACAAGATCAGCCGACACAGATTGACCTTTGGCCCGAAGGACCTGCAGCTCTGCCTTGATCGGGTCCAAGAAGGGGGTCCCATTTCAGCCCATATGTTTAGCCGCTTGCAGCTCCTGGTGCCTCTTGAGGCCCCTGTGAATGATCGCTTTGAGGGTCTTGATGCTAACCTTCTCGAGGTCCACCACAAGCCCTTGAGGATCCACCCAAAGCTTGAAAGACCTGATTTGCCACCCAAGACGACGCAAAGTCAATACTACAGCTCCCCCAGGGCAACACACGGTAGCCCACCCCAGACTGATCTTGGACAAGCCGGCCTCAAAAGATGGTCAGCATGGCGCCCTGAGGAGCCCAACCTTCATGGAGAGCCTGGAGCCACGTCGTGAGGGGCAGGGTGTTTATCAGGTGCGCTGGGTCGAGGTCGGGCGGATCATGCAACAGGTGCTGCACCGCCCTGGACCTGCCCTTGGCCTTGCCGAAGAGGGCGAAAGCCGTATCATTCATGCCACACACTCTGACCCCATACGAAGCCGACGCTAAGCCTCCAGCTCGGAGACGATGAGACCTCCTGCGGAGGTTGTTCACACGGCCTCTCAGGACTCTTACCTTTCCTTACCTGCTGGCTGAAGTCGTGCCCGAGGTTCTTGACACTCGAGCACACCTTGAAATTTAAACTCTTGAGGTTGGTGCCAAGATCCTGCGCCAACTTGCTGGACGACGCGACGATCTGGCACTTCTTCCTAGACGCTGAAAGCTCCATTTTGCGCAGTCGCTTGCAGAGTGCTGGGAGTGCTCTAGATAGGGATCCTCTGACGAGCTTCTCCGAACCGAGCGCCGATATCGTTATATCGTCTACCATGACATACAGGGATAACGCTGGCCAATACTTCTGCACGTGCACAAGTGAGTCATATAGTACAGCACGTAACATCGTCGTAGCGAACGAACGGCCGGCTATATTCGAGCACGCGACCGTAGTGATACTCGAAGCCACCTCACGGATTTTTAATCATCCTCGGCCCTCCGTGCACCATTATCAGCAGGCGCGCGCGTCGAAGACCAAACTTGTGCTTCCGGCAAGCGGCCCACAGCACTTCATGTTTTGTTGTTGTTGTTGTTGTTGTTGTTTTTTTTCGTAAGTCTACTCAAGATCGATCAGCCCTGAACCTAAGAAAGCACCGATCGAATTTGCCGCCTCTGATTGGACCGCCTGCTTCCACACTGACGGCTCACAAGACTTGCCTTTGGAGCCGTACACAGTCGAGGTGGTGCTCGCGCTCCCACTTCTTGGCCTCCGAGTGCCGAATGCGACCGAGCAGCCGCGCGCACGTGGCCAAGATGCCGATCGGACGGTATCCACCGTCGGGTTTCTTCAAAAAAGCAATGAGCGCCAGCTTGCACTGCTCTGGTATAATGAGATACGTTTCCACAGCCGATAAGGATGCAGCAAAAACAGCCAGACCTTGATCACTTAGTCGTTTCAAGTTCCCTGGACTCCAGCCGTCAATCCCGATCGCCGTGTTCTTCTTGAACTTCTGAAGGGCCTCTCGAACCTCTGAAACCTTGGGCGCTGGAAGGGGGCTCCCCGAGCGGCACGTTCAGGTCCTGGGCTCTTAACCTGGATGGTTCACCTTCGCGCCATATGTGCTTCCATTCTTCCAAGAGGGCCTCCACAGTGTCGACAGGCCCAGCTGGGGCCCCATCCAGACCAGCCCCATCAGGGACCCATCCCAGGGGTTCCTTCGTCCACCGAAACACTCCTCCTCCTCCTTGCTTGAGATTTTGATCCACCCAGTGCCTCCACTGCTGAGACTTCTTCGTCCTGGCGCTCGACTCTTCATTATCTGCAATGGCCCGAACGGCCGCCAGTGCGTCCTGCAGCTCCTCGTGGGAGACGGTGGCGTGCAGCTGAAAGCGTTGCCTAAAACTCACCCATTCTGGAATACTGCTGAGCACCTTTATTTGGGCCTCGAGCTTCCTAAACAAATCCTGAACTCCAGCTGAATCCCAAGAATGCTCCTTCCCATGAAGATAAGACAGCTCCTCAAGCCAGACCTGATATCTCCTGTGCGTCCTGGTCTCCAGACTACGCCGTGGAAAAGGTACCGAAACGTGCTGCTGCAAAACTGGCTTCTCGACCACCTTGAACTTACTACCCCTCCCACAGTACTCAGCACGCTCAGCAGCCTCGATGCCTAGCACGTCGCACAACTCCTGCTCCATGGTGTCACACATCCCCCCATAGAACACACATAGATCTGCAAACGATGGCTGCCGTCGCAGCCGTTCAAACTTGCCCTCGAACTGGGCCCAGTCCTGTGGCGGAGGCGATGGACCTGTGGGCTTCTCTAGCGGAAAAGGCTTTGGTAGCTTCAGCACCTTCTGAGTCCTCTGGTGTGCCGTCGTACCTAGCCTAAGTGAAACTGGATAATGTGTCCTGTTACTGAAGTCTTCTCGCCTGACGCATGCCCGAACTTCCCCGACAAGATCGAGCGATACGACAAAGTAGTCAAGTTCACGCCACACTTCGCCTACTCGACATGTTAGCTTCCCCGAGTTGACTACCACGGCTCTAAGTTTTCCCAAGACAGGCATTTTCTGGACCTCCGAGGGCACGTCGTTCCAGTCAGCAGCTATGACAAATGGCCTCTGGGAACTATAGAGACCCCCCCCAGCTGGTTTAGCAGTTGTTTGCCCTTAGCTCATTGGACCCCTTCTCCGTCAGGAAGATAAAGCGAACGCATATAAAAGCCTCCTCGCACACAACCAGTGACCCAGACAATCGTTGAACGTGCATGGTGAAGGTGCCGTGCTCCACCCACTGCCTCACTGTCGCTTATGTGCTGATTAACTCCTACCGCAACTCCTGCCGAGACGCCCCCCAGGTCCGTCTGGTCAGCAGGACTGAGACGTAGCTCCCAACCCTCGTCGGCCGCTGACTTCTCAGAGTGTGAATCATTTGGCTGCAGGACCCTGCGCTCCTGGATGCAAAGGACTGACGAACTCTTGAACATATCATCAGTCAGGGCCGTGAGCGTGCCTGACCAACCTGATGTATTCACCGCGGTGATCTCCCACGTCGTATTAGCTGAGGAACTGCTTCGACTGGTACTCTTGGGCTGCGCCACTCCGCCCACGCTAAACGCTCGAAGTGCCTGGCGCTGGAGCCGCCGCGCCTCCTTTGCCAGCACCTGGGCTCTTGCCACCAATGGTCGGATGATTGCCCACCAAGCGCCTCGCATGCTCGCGCAGCTCCTCCGACGACTTCGCCATGCCCTTGCCTGCCGGAAGCCGCGGCGCCAGACTGCGCTGGCGGCTCAGCCGTGGCCGGCTGTGGGCTGCCCGCGGCCGCTGCCGCGCCCGCGCCCTGCTGCGCTGGCGGGGCCGAGCCTGCAGCATCAGTTGCCTCAGGCTCCTGGCGGCGCCGCTTCGACTGCAATCTGGTCTTGAGCTCCTCATGCTCCCTCTTATACTGCTCCGCTTTCTGCTTAAGGTCTCCGAACATCGCCTTCGCGAGGGTCTGGAACTGCTCCTTGAGCTGAGCCTCGCGCTTGCGCGCCTCCTCTTTGTCCGTCTCCTCGACGTCCACGATCTCCGCCAGGCCGAAGAGGTCCTCGCCGCACGAGAGGCTCCACTCCTGCTTGCCCTCAAGCATGGCCTCCAGGCTGAGGGTCGGCGCCTGCGGGACCGAAGGCGCGGGCGGCACGACGACGGCGTGCAGCTCCTTGATCGCCTCCTTGTAGATGCCCTCCTGCGTCTCGATCTGGTCCAAGAGCGCGGCGACCTTCGCCCCCTGCTCCGTGACCTGCTGCTGGAGCTTCTCCAACTGGGCCGACTCGGTGCCCAGGTCCGTCTCCAGCTGCTTGATGCACTTGTGTGCCTGATCCGCCTTGACCTGGGGCGGCACGTGCTGCTTGTCTCTGATGGCCAGCACCTGCTGATAGTACTCGACCATCTGGGTGTCGTTGCTCTTCTCGCTGGGCTGGACCAGCTGTTGCAACTCTGGCACCGTGAGCTCTGGCACAGGATCCGAACATGCCTGGACGAGGCCTGGTTGAAGTGGCGGGCCATGCACAGCAGCACGACCAGCAAGACCAGGAGGAGTGCCCAGGTCTCTGCCCTTGCCCTTGGGCTTCTTGGCCTTGCCCGTCTTCCAGTGCCGCTCGCAATGCTTGCACCAGTGCTCGCTGATAGGGTTTTTTTCCGCACCCGCAGTGCGGGCATTTCCAGACCGACGCGTCATGCCAGCCTCCTGCCATCGCGCGTCTCTTCGGAAAGACTGCGAGGGCGCCGAAATCTTGCAAATGTGATTATGGCCCTCACCCTGGGCCAGGGCTTGAGCCAAAATGGCTACGGACCCCTCCTCCCCCCTCCTCCTCCTCCTCCTCCTCCTCCTCCTCCTCCTCCTCCTCCTCCTCCTCCTCCTCCCCCAATGTGCACAGCTCCCGTTTCTAGATTCTGCACAGGGCGACGGGGCCATTTTCCAGGGTGCCGCGTCCTCTGCGACACCTGCCGGCGGATGCAGAGATGCTCGGCGCAGTGGCAACGGATTGGTGGGAAGGGCAGGATGTCGGACATGGTGCGAGCTCGCCCGGCGTGCCCTTCCCCTCGACCTTTCCTCCCTCTCTCCCTCTAGGCCTCCCAGATGGGGTCGGAGTAGATGGGGTCGGAGGATCGCGCCGCATCGCCGATGCATCGCCGATACATCGACGATGCGGCTCGATGTGGCGCCCGATTTTCCCACGCCGACGTCGCCGATGCATCGCCGGCGTCGCTGATGCATCGGCGATGCATCGCCCATGTATCGGCGATGCATTGGCGATGCGGCGCGGTCCTTCGACCCCATCTACTCGGAGCCCATCTGGGAGGCCTCTGCTCCCCCTTGAAGCCCCCTCCCCGAGGAGGAGGGGGCCCCCACGACACCAACGGGAGGCCGGGAGCAGAGGGGGAGTCCGCCAGAGTTCGCGGGGCGCCCCGCGGAAGGCCACCCAGACGCTGGGCTGGGTGATCTCGACGGTGCTGTCCGCAGGCCCGCTCTCCTCCTCCTCCTCCTCCTCCTCCTCCTCCTCCTCCTCTGCGCTCCTCTGCCCTCCTGCTGATCCTTGGGCCCTCCTCCCGTCTCGGGGGTGGACAGACCTCCTACCCTGACACGTCGATTAGTGAATTGTCCTTTTTCGGTTCTCGAGAGGGCGCCGCGGCCCTTATTTTCCAGGCTTACGCCCGCCAGGTTTGGGGCCGAGGTCGTTTCCACTAAACCACCTCTGCTCTCCGCTGCCCTCCTGCTGATTTGGACGCCCGAAATGGGTACGGAAAGAATGGGTACAATGCCCAACAGCAAATGTTGTCCCAGACCAACAGCCGCCGCTGTTGGGCAGGCGGCCTCCTGTCTCGAATGGACACGGGCCGCGGCGGCGTGGACAGCGAGTCCTGCTCAACATGATCAGGAACTGCTGTTGAGCACTGTGCCCATTCTATCCGTGCCCATCTCGTTCGTGCAGGGCTGACCCTCCGGCCCCTCCTCTCGCCGCTTCCTCGCTGTCCTTCGCCCTCCTCCTCGCCGCGGCCGCTGTCTTCCAGGCTTGCGCCGCGCCCGCTTTTGGCCCGAGGTCGTTTCCACCAAACCACGTTTTGCTAAAGGGGGGTCTGTCCGTCCCCGATGGTCGCCTCCTCGCCCTCCTTCGCCCTCCTCCACGCCGCCCTCCCCGCGCGGCACCGTGGCCCCACCCGAGCCTGGGCCGGCCGACGAGCGGCACACCGCTCACCGAGCGGGGCGAGCGCGCGAGCCCGCCCCCGACGCACCCGCTCAGGGGCAACGACAGGGGGTGATCGGCGTAGGGGGGGATACACCTCAGGCGATGCTTAAGAAAACTTAAATTTTCGGCCAGGGTCTCGATTATTCTTAATGTTTCAACGTAAATCCTAAGATTTTAATGGAAATTTGGGGTTTTTAATCAAGTTCTGAGACTATGAATTTCTTAACCCATGATTTCTTAAGCATTTCGCAGGGTGTACATCGACCCCCAATCGCCGATTGATCGCCGATAGTGGCCTGATGGCCCCAGCCCGCCCAGGAAAGTGCAGATTCACTATCGCGGGCCTGCCGCCGATCTATCGGCGATGTACCGCCGATTCCAGATCGATGCATCCCCCCCTGTGCCAGTCCCCCCCTATCGTTGCCCCCCACCCAAGCCCACCCAAGGGAGGATGCAGAGGCGGACGAGCAGCAGAGCGTGGTGATCGGACCGTCTCGTGGGGGCCCGGGTCCACGGTGGAGAAGAAAATTCATGGCTGCCGGCGCTGGCGCCATGCCCTCGGTGCAGCCCAAGCAGATGAAGGGATTAGGATGTAATCCTCAACGCTGGAGAAAACACGCATGCATCACCAATCGTCGAAGCCCAAGAGAAATATGGGAAAAGATGGGAAGTGGGGGGAAGACGAACATCCAGAACACGTGACAAAGTATGGGGATTCCTGGGATTCGTGTCCATTCTTTTGTGTGCTCCCTGGGCCCCCTTCGTGCTCCCCGTTGAGGCCCGCCGCCTATGGGGGCCCTTGCGACTGCCGGGGCCGCGTGCTCCGCGGCCCGGCTGCGCGCCTCGTGCGTCTGCACCGGCGAGAGCGGCGGGCGCCCCGGCGGCGGGGCCTCCGCGGCGCCTCCGCCCCGGGGGCGCCGCGCGTGGCAGCCGCGGCGCGTGGCGCCGCGCCAGGCAGCCGGGCCACGCGCGGGGCCCTGCGGCTGCGCAGGCCAGGCGCGGCCGCGGGCGTGGCCGCCTCGGTGTGCAAAATAGGTGGTGGATGCCCCCACTCCGCCGCCGGTAAACCTCTCTATGACGCCAGCGCACCAACTATTTTCTCCGAGCGGGGACTCCGAGCCGGAGGTCATCCCAGGGCACACACATACGGTTTGGTCGGGCCTCTCTGGCACGGGGGATCCGCCCCTTCAGCAGAGTGGCCGCCCGCTCCATTGCACGCCAATTTTCCCCTCCTTTCCTCGTCTCTTACTTCCGCATTTGCGGGCCGTAATTCGTGACATTTTCGTTGCGTGTTGCCGCCTTTGCGGGCCGCGTTCTCAGTTTTGGGTGTACCGGCCTATATCGCAGTTGCTTGTGGTAGATTGTTGGAAAACTTTTATCCCACAAAGTGGGATCACGCATGTTGACGCTTGCGCCGCCATGTGTCTCGAGATCCTTGGAGGCTTAGCGGCAACGCCGCCTCCAGGGATGGGTTGCAATGAATGTTGCACTCTAGGTCGGCAGCTTCAGGGCAACTTTCGCCGTGACGCTGCATTTTGGTCATGTGTCTCAAGATCTCTGGAGGCTTAGCGGCGACGCCGCCTCCAGGGATGGGTTGCAATGTAATTTGCACTCTAGGTTTGCAGCTTCAGGCCAACTTTCGCCGTGATGCTGCACTTTGGCTCAAGACCCAAGATGCGGAGCCCTGAGAAAAAGGACTCTTCCGTCCCTGCCGTGGTTAAGCGAAGGAGCGAGTCTCAGCGGCGACGCCGGCTCCTCCGCCGCCTGGCCACGTCAGCGGACACCCTCCTCCGGCTGCGCCTCGGCCTGCCGCAAAAACCTGACATACAACATAGCCTTCCCTTCAGCCCTACCAAGACCCAGAAGCTCCTCACGTTACTGGCCTCCCGGGTCCCCTTGCAGGCCATTGTAGCTGACCATGGCGAGTAGCTCATTAGCGCCCCTGCCTCTCCCAGCTCCGCCGCAACCACAGAGCGAGACCCAGCCCATGACCACACAGGCGATACCCAGTAGACCCGGTCAGGCTGCTGAGGTTCTCAGCCGAACTGCTGATGCGGCTGGAGCTGGAGACCTGGATGAGACATTGGATTATGAAGAGCTTGACGCTACTCTGGACTACGACCACCAGCTTGCTGGAAGCCCAGAGTTCGACACCACCCACGACTACAGTGAGTGGGCGAATGCAGTCCATGCAGTCGTCGGGCGAGCTCCCGACGGGTCTGTCCCTGGTGCCCCAGAGCCCCTCCCAGAGATACCCGCACAAGCACTAGTGGACCTTCGTAGGCTTGGGCTCCAAATTCCTGCCGAGTTTGAGCGGGCGTCGGCATACCGGCCGCAGGCCAACGGCCAGGCCGAGCGCGGGCATCATCGTCTGCGTGCACAGGTACTTCAACAAGCTGAGCCAGCACTTCTCGACAGGAGCCGCGATCGCGGCCGGCCCCAGCGAGCCCATGATGCTGCCGGATATCATCCTGGTGATCGCGATCACGGTGCACACCTTGACGCCCAGGTTGTTCAGCGCGCCCCGGAGACTCCTGCTCATACCCACGAGTCCGGGACCATGGAGGCTGACGGACTCGCAGCGGCCCTCGAGGCCGTCATGGACGAGAGCGAATTGGAGAGGAGGGCCATGGCGCATGAGGAGGTCCTGGAGGCGCAGATGATGCTAACGCTTTCGGCCCGCACCGAGGCGATGACCGCCCGCGCGACCGACATCGTTCGAGCAGAGCAGGCTGAGATGAGGGATGAGCTTGTCGGCGCGCTCATGCACGCCGAGGCTCAGCAGGACTCCATCCGCTCCGAGTACGCGGCGCGCCTCTTGGATGCTGAGCAGCACCTCGACGCCGCGGCAAGGCAGAGGATCAACGACGTCGTGGAGACGGAGGCCGAGGAGCTCATCGCTGCCGGCCGCCGCATGCATGACGAGCTGGCCGCCCGAACTGCCCAGTTGAATGTGGCCAACCTGGCCCATCTTGGACAGCTCCGGGAGGTCAGTGAGCAGGCTGAGTCTTCGATTCGGGCTGCGAGGCGGGCCGAGGCCGAGGTGAACGCCAACGCCGAGTCCGCCATCAATTCACTCAAGGCGGAGGCGCTCCAGGCCATCACCGATGCCCAGGGCGCGGCGGCGGCAGCTCGGGCTGCCGAGCAAGCTGCCCATCGCGCGGAGTCCCGGCAGGCGCTCCGCCTCCGCCAAGCCGAGTCTCGATTGCACTTGGAGGCCTCCGCGGTCTCTGAGCTCCGCGCGCAGTGCGCTGATGCAGCCGGGCTCCGTGCCCAGGTCGTGGTCCATGCGGCCAAGCTGGCGGACTACGAGCGGGATTTCGCTGCCCTTCGAGCTGGTGCCCAGCACGTCATTGACGACTCCGGGCGCAAGCTCAGGAGGCTGGGCAAGGACCACGAGGCCGTCGAGCACGCACTCCGCGACAGGCTCATGGCCGAGACCCGAGCTGCCGAAGCCGAGGGGCAGGTGGCTCGCGCAGAATTCCAGTGCGCTGCCAACTGGCGCGCGCTGGCGGAGGCCTCTGAGCACCGACATAGCCCACCGCCTGGACTTGAAGCGCGTCGCCAAGTTCCTGCAGTTGGTGAAGGTGGTGCTCCTCCCCGTGAGCCGCAAGCTGGCGCGGGAGCTTGGCCTGCGACTCATCCCGAACGTCTTCTTGGAGACCAAGCCCGGGCTGCTGGCGCAAGTGCGCAGCGCGAGTCCATCGAGGGGCAGTTCGGCGAGCAGCACGCGTACAATTTCATGCTAACAGGGCGGGCTCTTGACGCCTCTGCCATGGGCGCGCTGGGATCGGCCGCGATCGCGCCGCCACCGCGCCCACCTGCTTCGGCCGCTGGCGTTTTACCCGGCCGGGGCTGCGGCGTGAGCATGGGCCAGATGCTCGCGCAGACCGCCGCAGCGTCAGCCCCCAGCGGCAGCCGGCCGCCATCTGAGCCTGGCGCAGCGGGGGGCATTCATTCGCTCCTTCCGCCTCGCCGCCCGCCCGGGCCGCCGCCGCCGCAGCGGCAGCAGCGCATGGGCGGAAGACCGCCGGATGGACCTCCAGACGGCGGACCTCCTGATGATGGCGGTCCTGGGGACGGGTGGAACTTCGACGGCTATGACTTCAACGCTCCTTGGAGTGGAGCTGCAGCCGCCGCCGGGGCGCAGCAGGCGCACAAGCGCTCTGCGTCGCTTTCTTCGTCCAGTGATGAGGGCGACATTCGGCGGAGGAAGGGCGCGGTGAAGGAGCTGAAGCTCGACCCGAGCCCGCAGGCTTCTGGGCTACGGCAGTGGATCCAGAGCTCGTACTCGAAGGTCTGCGCGGCCTCCAAGCGCTCTAAGCGCAGAACCCTCCGCGGGCTGCAGCTGGCTGAGGACCCGGCGGTCACCCGGGAGCGGCTCGAGCACCTCTCGTCCGTCCAGCGCAAGTGGGGCGACTTGGACACAGCGCTGGCCGACTCCATCTTGCAGATCGCCACCGTTTCCCTCAAGCGCCAGCTCTTGACCTACCAGGGGCAGTTGACGGCGAGGGGGCACCCCCTTTCGGGTCGATGTGCGCTCAAGATGTTCTTCGAGCAGTTCCGCATCGAGTCCGGCCAGAAGTCGAGCATCGACGTCGCCACGTTCGTGAACTTGAAGTTCCACGGCGCCTTGGAGGCGTACCTGGACCTGCTGGACTACACCCTGATGGGCCTCACCCGGCAGCCAGACGAGGAGCTCATCATGGCAATCGTCGAGCCGCAGCTTCGACTATGCCGTGACCTCGCACCGACCTTCGTCGCCTTCGACGGCGCCGAGGAGGGCTCCGAGGAGCGCACTATCTCTTGGCTATGCAACCGCGCCCGGCGCGAGGTGGCCAGGAAGAAGCGAGTGGCGGCCTCCGAGCAGCTCCAGGACGCGGTGCCCAAGAAGATCGCCGCCCCAGGAGCCGGCAAGGGTGGCAGGGGGGGCGCCGGCAAGGGCAAGGATAAGGGCAAGCAGACGTGGGCTTGCATCCTCTTCCGGACCAGCGGCTCTTGCCGCTTTGGGGACAGGTGCAGATGGTCGCGCGACCCCAGTGCGCCGATGCCACCAGCTGGCATTGGCGAGAAGGCCAGGACCGAGGCTGCAGCTGTCACGTCGAAGGCTGTCGCAGAGCCCAAGGCCAAAGCTACCGCCAAGGCGGCCGAGGCTAAGGCCAAGGCTGCCGAGAAAAAGAAAGCTGCAGAGAAGAAGGAGGCCTCTGCGGCCGCAGGCAGGCCCGACGTGGCCCAGGACAAGCCCCTGTGCGCCGCCTTCCAGAAGTCTGGCAAGTGCGACAAGGGCGACAAGTGCGAGTTCAGGCACGCGCCCAAGGCCACCGCGAAGGCGGCTCCAGCCAGAGTGGCTCGCCATGCCGATGAGGCCGCTGGCGCTACCGGAGTCGCCATGCCGAGTGCCGCCGATAACGACGCTGACTGGGCCGTGGCCGACACGGGCGTTGGCGACGACCTACTCGACGCCCAGACCGCGATGCAGTTTGGCGACGCCCACCACAGGACCGACCTCCACCAGCTCGCCACTGCGAACGGGACCATCGCGCCCGACACCACCGCAGTTGTCGGCCTGGAGCGGCTCGGCGAGGACACTGAGGCAGTCGTCCTGCCAGGCACAATCAACGCGCTGTCCATCGGCAGGCGCTGCGCCGTGTACGGGTACACGTTCACCTGGAATCCGTTCGAGGACAAGCCCGTGTGGCTCGCCCCTGACGGGGCTCCCCTCGACGTGAGGGTTGACCACTACGTGCCCATGGTACGTCCAGGGTTCGCACGCCCCGAGGGAGAGCGACGCCAAGTCGCCTGCATGCCGGCCGCTGGGTCTTCGGAGCAGAGCCCCTCTCGAGCAGCTGATGCTGACCAAGCCCCCGAGGATGCTGAACAAGACTCTGAAGTGGTGATCCCCGAGGTGGTGGCGGTGGCCCCCGAGACCGCAGGCCTGGACGACGACATCTGGATCGCCGGCGACCCGTCCATCGTGGAGCACGTGCCCGAGCACGAGAGCATCGGACCCAGCGGTGATACTCGCGCATTCATTCGCGACCTGGAGGGCACACCGACGAGATCCCTCTCAAGTGCGGCGAGTGCCTGCCCGACGACGCCATGGACGCCACCTTCCACAACGACCCGCTGTCGCGAGCTCACCTTGCAGCTCATCTTCCGCGCTGCCCGCCGGGAGTCTGCCCCGGGTGCGACTTCGGCAAGACTGCGAAGAGCCGCAGCGGGAGGAGACCAGCACCAGCCATTGAGCTGCACGCGACGCCCGAGGAGCAGGGGGAGTTCGGCGCCCTTGCCCACATGGACTATGGACCACATCGAGATGGAGCGCGGCAGCGACGCCCGCAGGGCCGCGCCCTACGCGCTCGACATCACCGATGAGTGCACGGGCTTCTTTTCGAGCTACCCGGCGGTCCGCCGCGACGCCAACGCAGTGTTGGACAGCGTCAGGCGCTTCGACGACACGCCCGAGAAGATCAAGCGCTGGTGGAGCGACCACGCTCCCGAGTTTCGCGCTTCCGCCAGGCAGATTCGCGAGCAGCGCACTCTAGCGCACTACCGGTCGACGCCGTACCGGCCACAGGCCAACGGCAAGGCGGAGCGCATGAACCGCCTCAGCGTCGAGGGCACGCGTGCGCTGCTCCACCAGTCCGGCTTCTCCGAGAGCTGGTGGCCGCTGGCGATTCGAGCGTGGGCCACCGCCTGCAACGCCACGCACGTCGGGAAGGGCGGCCTCGCGCCCTGGCAGCGCAGGTTTGGGGAACGAGCACCATGCACCGTGTTCCCCTTCGGCGGCCTGGTGACCTACCGCCCGCCGGCCGGCTCCAAGACCACATGGCTCCAAGCTGAAGCGCCTGGGCTCGACCAAATGGAAGAGCAGGCTCGTCCCCGCCGTCTTCGTGGGCGTCGCCGCCGGCCCCGGCGAGACTTGGGCAAAGTCTTACCTCGTGGTGCCCCTGGCTGCGATCATGGACGACGGCCGCGCTTCGCGCGTCAGCGTGCGCACGGTGACCGACGTGGTCTTCCCCGACCAGCCCGCGTTCCGGCTCAAGCAGCGCTTGATGGCCCACGGCGATTTCGAGGACTTGAACCTCCACATCGGGGCCCTGGGTGAGCTCATCGTCACGGAGGACGCCTGCGAGGACGACGCCGAGCGGTACGACCTCACCTTCGACGGCGACCTGTCCGATAATGCCCCGCACTACTCGCGGAAGAAGCGCGTGATGGACATCATGATGGCCCTCGACCCGGACTCCCCTACCGTGCAATGTCGGTCTCGCCGGTGCCGGAGCTAGCCGCCGAGCCGGCCCCTGAGGCCTCTGCTCCGCCGCCTCGCGGAAGCGGACGCCGGCCGCTGCCGCCCATGGACGCTCCGCTGAGCATCAAGGCGACCTTGCAGTGGAACAACCGGGTGCTCGACGTCGCGTGCCCGGATGCTGGTGGTCTCCGTGCTGACGCAGTCCGCACGCAGGTCGCAGCTTCGCCCCATGTGGGTTTGGACCCGCAGGAGCTCGTCGTGAACCGCCGGAGTCGGCACGCCTGGGTCCCCGTGAAGACCAGCTACGTCTTTCGGCCTGGCTCCAGGCGGGCACTGCCCCCCCGTCTCCGGCCGACGACCCCAAGGAAGACTACTGGGAGCGGGAGGATGACCTGTGGCACCGGGTCCACGTAGTCCCGCGCGTGGCCATGTTCACCCCGATCGACGTTGATGGAGCTCCCGACGCAGACGAGCTCGGAGGATGGCGATTGACTAAGGTGGACTACCACAACGGCCAGTCCGACCTCATAGAAGACGATTGGCTTCGGGATCCGAGCCCGCATCGATCGCCCACTCCATGCCCGATGGACTGGCAGGACCACTTTCGGCCCCAAGGACCAGGAGGAGATCGACGCGGAGGGGGGCAACTTCCTCGGATCTCTGGCGCCTCCCCCAGCGCCCGTGGATGGACCTTGTTGAGCTTGCACAGCCGGCGCCTGTCGCTACCATCCACACCGAGGTGGTCCCTGGACCAGATCGCGCTCCCCCGGCCGGCTGGAGGCGAGACGACTTCGGCGCGGACGGCGTCATCCGCAGATCTGTCTGGGCGCCGCCGTGGTCCACCCGCCCGCCGGCCTTCGAGCCCGAGGTGTGGATGTCCCTGAATGCGGCCAACCGGTTAGCTGCCAGGAACGCTTGGAAATCCGACGACCCTGTCGGCTTCGCGGCCCAGGAAGCTAGGCGGAAGGCCTGGGCAGAGCACAAGTCCAAGAAGGCCAAGCCCGCAGGTCCTGCGCCTCGCGTGCTCTGCAGCTGCACTGGCTTCGTCGGTGGCGACCTCGAGTCTGACTACGTTGGCGCCCCTGGCGCCAGGCCGTCCATGCCTGCTCGCCGTTCCGTTGAGGCTGCCCTTCCTCCACAAGGGCCCGCGGCGCCCGCTGACCCCAACGACGCCGGCAGGGTGCTCGCCCCGAAGTCGAAGGACCAGCTGTGCCAGCAGGCGTTTCCTGCGATCTTGAGTGGCGACTTCGACGAGTTGTTCATCGAGCTTTGTTGCACAGAGAACTCGAAGCTCTCGGAGCACGCCCCGAGGCGCACCCTGGCGACCCGAGTGACCACCGACCTCGATTTCACGGACACCGCCGTCCTCAAGCACCTAAAGCACTTGGCCAGATCGGCACACAAGCACAAGATGCGGGTTGCGGTCTGGAGCGCTATCCCTTGCACGGCCGGTTGCCCGTGGAAGCGCGTCAACGAGTCCAAGGGCATCAAGACTGGCGACCCCGAGCTCACCGAGAAGTTGATCTCGCACGGAGTGGCGCTTTGCAGGTACGTCCGCAACATTGGCCAGCACTTTGTCTGGGAATGGCCGACCACTTCCGACCTGTGGGCTCACCCTGCAGTTCAGGCGCTGTGCCATGGGGCTGACGAGGGCGACGGCTTCATTGCCGTTGCCACCTCGGCTGTTGGCCTCAGCCACACCATCAATAGCAAGGTGGTGTGGACTCGAAAGTAGTGGTGTATCTACTCCACCGACGCGCACGTCCGCGCGGCGTTCAGCGCGTTCACCTCCGACCCGCGCCAGGACCAGAAGGAGTTCGTGTGGTGCCGGGGTAAGTTCGCCAAGGAATCCGCCATCTACACGGACACGTTCGCGCGAACTTTCTGGCTTGCCAGGGGCGTGGTAAGTCGACCGGCCGCGCCAGCACCGAGGTTCAGGAGCTTCTTCAAGGGCTGCGCCCCCGAGGCCTCTGGCGCCGACCACCGTGGCCACGACGCCTCGGCGCCGCCTTCGAGGCCATTCTGGTGCGCCATGGTCACGCGAGTCGTGAAACCCAGGAGCCCCGAGGCCGACTGCGACGAAGCCCGCGCCGCCATCGCCAAAGAGAGGTCTAGCATGCATGACAAAGGAGTGTGGGATGAGAGCGATGTGCGCTCCTTGAGGGACCTCCTCCGCGACCCGAAGTTGGCTGAGGCCATGTTTGGCCGGGTCTTCGCGATCTTGGGGATCAAGGGCGAAGAGCTCAGCAAGGAACACCAGCAGTGGAAGGCCCGCGCGGTCTTCCAGGGGTCCAACGTCCGGACCAAAACCGGGACCTCGGCCGCGGAACTCTTCGAAGAGGTCGCCAACGCTCCCGCCTCTTTCGCCGCGGCTCGCGCGGCGATTGCCGCTGGAGTCCTCGAGGGTTTCGACGACAAGCTCCGCGATGCGGAGTCGGCGTACCTGCAGGCGCTCATCGACACGACGAGCCGGGTGCCGACCTTCGTCGGGTTGCCCGAGGCGTGGTGGCCGGACTCCTGGTACTTCGACGGCAGCGCCCGCAAGAATCCGAAGTGCACCAGGCCGCGTTGCAGGCTCATCAAGGTCCTCTACGGCCACCCTGAGGCTGGCGCGCTCTGGGAGGCGAAGCTCGACTCCATCTTGCGCCAGCTTGGATGGGCACCAGCCGGAAAGGAGTTCCCAGGCGTGTACATCCACACGCGGTGTTCTTGAGGCATCTGGCCCTACTTCTTCGGCGCGCTCTGCGACTGGAGCCATCCTCATTGTCTACGTGGACGACCTCCTCATGGTTTCCGCCCCGGGGGCCACCGGGCGACTTTGGGGGGAGCTGGAGAAGCGCGTGTCGTTCAAGGAGCTGGAGGCGGACCTTGACAGGTACCTGGGGGCGCATTACGACATCCCCCAGTACGATTCCAGGCGCCCGCGCGCGCCGCGCCCGCTCGTCACGAACATTAACGACTACGTGAAGAACGCCGTCAAGAAGTTCGTGGTGGACATGGCCAGGACCGCGCCCCAGATGCGCCTCGGCAAGGTGACCAGCCCTTTCGTGTCGCCCGAGCAGTGGGCGGACCCTGGTGCCATGCCGGGAGCCTTTGCGACGACCGCCGCAAGCTATGTCGCCACTGTGCTTTTTCCTCAGCCGGGTGGCGCGACCTGACATCTCGGTCGCGGTGCAGCGGTTGTGCCCGCATGTGACCAAGTGGTCAACCACCCGCGACGTCGCGCTCGTGAGGCTGTACAGCTACCTGCAGAGCACCGGCAACGTCGCCCTCGTCGCGCTCTTGAGCCCGGACGACTCCGAGGAGCTCCAGCTCAGAGCCTGGTCCGATGCGGATTGGGCCGGCGACGCGGAGACGACGCGCTCCACCAGCGGCCTTTTCCTCGAGCTCTTCGCGCCGACTTCTGACCATAGTTGGCCTTTGAGCTGGGCCAGCCAGAAACAGACGGCGACGTCTTCGGCGACCGCGGAGTCCGAGACGCTGGCGATGTCCAAGAACGTCCGCATGGACGCGCTCCCCATGGCCGACATGCTGGCCAAGATGGGCGTGAAAACGAACATCGTCGTGCTGGTGGACAACGCGCAGGCCATTGCGGCCGTTGGGCGCGGTTACTCCAAGAAGTTCCGGCACTTGGAGCGCGCTCACAAGTGCGCGATCTCCGTCGTCCACGAGCTCTGGAAGGACGGCGAGATCGAGGTCGAGCACCACCCGACGGCAACCCACAAGGGCGACGGGTTCACCAAGGCGCTGCTGCCGGCCAAGTTCATTCAGGCCCGCGAGCTCATGAACATCATGATCGGCAACATCACCATCGAAAGCCTGGTGAAATGACCCGTGTCCTCACTCAGGCGAGCGGAGCTGATGCAGTTTTGTAGTTTTGTAGTATTTTAATTGTTCTGCATTTTGCACTTCGAGCTTGTGTTTGGCACTGATGACGTTGGCGCTTAGCGAGGGGGGTGTGCAAAATAGGTGGTGGATGCCCCTACTCCGCCGCCGGTAAACCTCTATATGACGCTAGCGCACCAATTTTTTTCTCCGAGCGGGGATTCCGAGCCGAAGGTCATCCCAGGGCATACATACGGTTTGGTCGGGCCTCTCTGGCACGGGGGATCCGCCCCTTCAGCAGAGTGGCCGCCCGCTCCATTGCACGCCAACTTTCCCCTCCTTTCCTCGTCTCTTACTTCCGCATTTGCGGGCCGTAATTCGTGACATGTTCGTTGCGTGTTGCCGCCTTTGCGGGCCGCGTTCTCAGTTTTGGGCGTACCGGCCTATATCGCAGTTGCTTGTGGTAGATAGTTGGAAAACATTTATCCGAATCCCACAAAGTGGGATCACGCATGTTGACGCTTGCGCCGCCATGTGTCTCGAGATCCTTGGAGGCTTAGCGGCAACGCCGCCTCCAGGGATGGGTTGCAATGAATGTTGCACTCTAGGTCGGCAGCTTCAGGGCAACTTTCGCCGTGGCGCTGCACTTTGGTCATGTGTCTCAAGATCTCTGGAGGCTTAGCGGCGACGCCGCCTCCAGGGATGGGTTGCAATGTAGTTTGCACTCTAGGTTTGCAGCTTCAGGCCAACTTTCGCCGTGATGCTGCACTTTGGCTCAAGAGCCAAGATGCGGAGCCCTGAGAAAAAAGACTCTTCCGTCCCTGCCGTGGTTAAGCGAAGGAACGAGTCTCAGCGGCGACGCCGGCTCCTCCGCCGCTTGGCCACGTCAGCGGACACCCTCCTCCGGCTGCGCTTCGGCCTGCCGCAAAACCCTGACATACAACATAGCCTTCCCTTCAGCCCTACCAAGACCCAGAAGCTCCTCACGTTACTGGCCTCCCGGGTCCCCTTGCAGGCCATTGTAGCTGACCATGGCGAGTAGCTCATCAGCGCCCCTGCCTCTCCCAGCTCCGCCGCAACCACAGAGCGAGACCCAGCCCATGACCACACAGGCGATACCCAGTAGACCCGGTCAGGCTGCTGACCTCGGCGCGCTGGGGCTGCGTTGGGGGCCACATGCGAGCCCTGCCCTTACCCGTATGTCGCCCAAGACAGCCTCCGCGAGGCCCCTGAGTGCCCGAGATGGCTTGAAGATGTCCGAAGAGGGCCCCGAGAGAGCCTTCAAAAGGCACAAATCGCCACATTTCCTTCGTAAAACGTGCATTTTCAGCATACCCGCTGGCTTCGTCTTCACAGCGCCCCAGACGCCCCCGCGGAGCCCCAAGACAGCCTACGAGAGACCCAAGTGGGCACCAGACGGCCCAAAAGGGTCGGCCTCTGGGGCTCACCAAACCCCCCGACCCAGGAGGCTCCCAAGACGGCCTCAGGGAGGCCCAAGAGGGCCCCGTTCGAAATCCTGTTCCCGGAAGCCTCTCCTGGAACATGTTTTCCGGGCTCCCAGCGCTCCCTACTGGGCCCCAAGAATGCCTCCGCGAGGCCCCTGAGGGCCCGAGATGGCTTGAAGATGGCCGAAGAGGGCCCCGAGAGGGCCTTCAAGAGGCACACATCGGCCCATTCCCTTCGTAAAACGTGCATTTTCAGCATACTTGCTGGCTTCGTCTTCGCAGTGCCCCAGACGCCCCCGAGGAGCCCCAAGACAGCCCAAGAGAGACCCAAGAGGGCCCCAGACGGCCCAAAGAGGTCGGCCTTTGGGCCTCACCGAACCCCCCGAGACGGCCCAAGAGGCCGCGAAGCCGACCCAGGAGGCGCCCAAGACGGCCTCAGGGAGGCCCCAGAGGGCCCTGTTCGAAATCATGTTCCCGGAAGCCTCTCCGGGAACATGGTTTCCGGGCTCCCAGCTCTCCCTACTGGGCCCCAGGACAGCTTCAGCGAGGCCCCTCAGTGCCCGAGATGGCTTGAAGATGGCCGAAGAGGGCCCCAAGAGGGCCTTCAAGAGGCAAACATCGGCCCGTCCCCGTAGTAAGACTTACGGACTCGGCGCGAGACAACTAGCCACCGCAGCTGCCGTTCCTTCGTGCTGGGCGCGTGCGAACCTGGCGTTCGGAAAGGAACGTGTCGGGTCTGTTGCAAGTCGGGGCTGCGCCAGGTTAGGCCACCGCCAAGGTCAGGTTCGGGAATGGGTCGTAGCAGCACGACGACGACGACGACGACGGCACGCCCCAACAGGCTCCCCAAGACGCCCCAAACCCATGCTCCCAGAAGGCCTTCTGGGAACCCGATTCATACGGTCTCCGCCCTCCTACACAACTATTTTCCTCGAAGGCCTTTCGGAATGCAGATTGGTATGCGTGGACTGTGGTCCACTACTTCAGTGGAGCAGTGAATTCGTCAAGGCCTGGGGCCTGCTAAAACCTGAGCGCGCGCGAAGCGCGCGCGATGGTTCTAGTATATATTTATATATATGTGTGTATATATATATATATGTAGATATATATGTATATGTGTATGTATGTATGTATGTATGTATGTATGTATGTATGTATGTATGTATGTATGTATGTATGTATGTACGTACGTATGTATGTATGTATGTATGTATGTATGTATGTATGTATGTATATATATGTATATATGTATATATATATACATATATGAGGATTTCGGCATGCGCGCGCAACGACGCGCGCGTGTGCTTTTCGTCTGTTGTTGCAAAGACGCGACAGCGCGGGCTGTCGCGACAGCGCGCGCGCAAGGGCGTTCGAACGATTTCGACATGCGCGCACGAAGCCGGTTTGGTAGCATTGTACGAACATGTTGAATACACAGCTTCTTTGGGGGGGGAACAAGAGGGAAGCATTCGCAAGAGTGCGCGTGTAAGTTTTTCAGATATCCGTGTTACGAAGTCACATGTCTTTACATATTCTTGGACAATCGATTTGGGAATTTCTTCGGCGCCCAAGTTTTTTTTTTTTTTTTTTTTTTTTTTTTTTTTTTTTTGTAAAAAAGGGTTGCAACATGCGCGCGCAACGACGCGCGCGTGTGCACTTCGTCCCATCTGTTGCACGGGATTCTTGTAAACTGGTGATTTTTGTGAATGCGCGCGCATAGTTTTGCTTGCGCAGGATGGCGGGGGGTGTTGATAGCAGCCTGTTTGGGATGGTATGATTTCGTATTTCGGATGGACAAGGGGCAAGATCGTAAGTACATTGCAATACGGAAAAAAGGGAACGGACAACCCCAACGGGGGCAGAACCCATTTTTTTACAAGAAAGGAGAACTTACGTGGTCCAGTGTTTTTTACATACGAGTTGACATACTCCATGCTCGCGCAAGCAACCCACCCACCCACCCGCAACTTGGTTTGCAAAACCCATGCGGTGGCGATTGCGATGAGTGCTTGGCGGTGGCTGGTGCATCTTTGCGGCCGCGCTGGCCCTCGCATGCTCGCGCGCGCAGCCGCCAGCTAGTTTGGCGCGACCGACGCGGCCGCGGTGGCGCTGACCGCTGGGCACATCCCAGCGTGCATGTCAGTGCGATTCAGCGACTTGGGCGTGCGCGGTATCATGGCAACGTCGACAGCTGTAGACACGGTGATGATACCAACGATGCTGGTGACGATGGTGACAGCGACGACGGCTCGGCCAGTGACGGCGCCGATGCTGATCACGCCGGCGTCGATGACGGCGTCCCCGCGTCGGTAATGAAGGTTTTGGACAGTGTTCGACATGCGCGCGCGGCCGGTTTGCGAGGGTGGCCGCATGATATTATGTGGCAGCGCGCGAGGGCGTCCGCATGATTTCGACATGCGCGCGCGAAGCCTGCTTGGTAGCATGTCATGAGAGTGTTGAATCGACGGTGGTTTTTTTGAAGAATTCGCGAGGGAGCGCGCGCAAGTTTTTTGAACATCCGTGCTGCGAAAATATGGTTTCATAGGCTTTTTGTATACTCGAGCATGTCCCTGCGAGACCTCCTGTGTTTGGGAACAATTTCGGCATGCGCGCGCGACAACGCGGGCGTGCGCAAATCGTGTCAATTGTTTCAACGTTTTTCTTGAAAACTAGCGGTTCTTCATCAGCGAGTGTGCGCGCATTGTGTTTGTTGCAGAGGATGGGAAGGGGGGGTGTCGATACTGGTTGGGCTGGGGCGGTATGAAATCATATTTCAAATGGACGACGGGGCACATTCGTATGTACATTGCAATACGGAAAAAAAAGGAGCGAATAATCCGGGGGGGGTCGAAACGAATTCTTTGCATATCTTGTGCGATCTAAGCGACGATGGGGTCTGCGACGGGGTGGCGACGGCGAGCACGGAACCGTCAGGCCGCCAGCCTGGCCCAGATCACGGGCGGCGACGAGGCGGCACCCGGGGTGTCGACGGCGAGCACGGAACCGCCAGGCAGCCAGCCAGGCTCAGACGACGGGCGGCGACGAAGCGGGGCGACGGGGCGGGACGGCGAGCACGGAGCCGCCAGACCGCCAGCCAGGTCCAGTTCGTGTGGGTTCGGGGGCGCAAGTTTGCCGTAGTTTGTTGGGGCTTCAACGACGCGAGTCCGCCGTATTTCGTCAGTGCGAGGTCGCGAGCGCGAGTTCGTTATGTTTTGCGATGGGGTGCAGCCTTGGAAGCGTCAGCGCGCTGGAACATGCTGAAAAGGATTGCGGCCTCGGGAGCGCGAGCCATATGTATTTTTTCATCCCGCAAGGCCCCATGCATTCAGGCAATGTGATTGGTTTTCGGGATGGGGTCTTGCTGAAAACATTGGGGTTGGAACTGTTGCAAGACACGCAAAAAGGCAAGCCCACGCAGCTTGTTGGACCCCGGGGGGAACTGGCGGATACTTCTCTTGGTTGAGGGCATTTGCGGGGTGTCTGGACGAATATGGATGGAGCAATTGTGGAGTGTGCGGTTGGCGAGACTGGGCAGTCAAGTGGCGTGGTGTCTTTCTTGTGTGCATTTGTGCCCATCCTCCTGGTGAGGCCTCTTTGCAGCGCGCTGGCTTTTCAACAAGATCCACGGTGGCAAAGGAGCGGGCGGGATTGGGATCGAGTTCGAGTTACTCAGTCAGAGGGCCAACCGCGTCTGAGGATGGGGATGGTTGGATGATGTTTGGAGCGGTTCTCCGACTTTACGAAGTTTCCGTTCACATGTCGACATTGTCGATTTGCAGATTTTCTGGTCTGATATTGCGATTCCTATGTGTCGTCCTTCCCTGCGAGAGCATCGGCGCGCGCACATTGCAGGCAAAGGCTGTTTGAGCATGCCGTATGGGTTGCCTCGTAGTGATGCTTGCTGCGCTTGCGTGCACAACGCGATCGTTAGTTCTCGAGTGGTTCCAGAGCTGTTTCGCACTGCGGCACCATATCATGGGCACGAATTCACATGCAAGGAGCTGCGAGAACTGCTGAACCCCAGCCAATCTGAAGTTACGCAGGCTTACTTTCTTCTAGTCATGCGGGGGCATCACTCGGGTCCGAAGCGGGCCCGGCCGTAAGCAGTGCATGATTGGTGATAGTGCAATTCGGAAGTGCAATCTCCCCCGGCAACTACAAGTAATGCCATATCCTCACACTTGCGAGTCTGAGTAGGGGGAGGGCGAGGATGCCGGCAGTCTGCAAAGGTTCGCCAGCAAATTCGAAGCCCGCGGCAGCCGCCAATTTTCTACACATCGCACAACTGGCCGCCCGCCGCAGGCGCCAAACTTCCATCGAACTAATGCGGGTGGATCGCGGTTGGGTCGCCGTTGGGTCGCGGGTGGGTCACGGGTGGGTCACGGGTGGGTTTCGGGCGGTGGTGGGCGGATCGTGGGCGATGACGACAACATCGAACGAAACAGAACATCTACGCGGAACCCCATTTCAGCCACACAGCCAGGGACAGAGCAATACCGCTCGCCCCCCTCATTCCGAAGATAGGGGGATCTTTTGTACAAGTTCCGACGCCTCTCCCTCTTGTTTTGCCTGACGATCAGTTGCATTTCACATCGAATCGTTTGGCGTGGGAATCTCCAGGGTGGAGACTGTATGGGTCGTCCTCGTCTTCCATGTTCTTGCCCGCCGTTCTTATGTTCCACCCGATCAGACTGAGTGAAACAAGCCCGCCCCCCCTCCGCAGCCCTCGACGTCCAGGTCACAGCAGTCCCGAGTATCCCGAGCCTTGTTCCTCAAGCGCCAGCGTGCACACCTCTGCAACCAAAAGCAGGCATCAAGAACAGTCATCAAGAGCAGACGTCAAGTGCACACACAAGAAGCAGACATCGAGGACTACCTGACAGTCGTCAAGGTGTCATTGCGTCCACACTGGCATCACCGCTGTAACCCAACAATCGGCACACATCACATGCATCATTCACATAGACCAGAACCAAACGTATTTTCCACATGTTGCATCAGCGAGGTCATACATTGCGAAGATATACCAATCGCATGTATCAGCCATATGGTACATATCTGCCAGCGTGGACCCCAACAGTTAGTTCTTGCACGGTGGACGTGCAAGCTACTTGGGGTAAGCTATGTGATGCAAGCTGTGTTGTGCATTCTATGTAGGACTCATATGTGGTGCAAGCTATGTGGTGCACGCCGCAAAGTGTAAGCTATTCGTGTACTGGGCACCAGCTATGTGGTGTAGCCTGTGTATTGTAGTGGCCTTCGGACAGTGCCGCCGATCTGGGTCGCTCGGGGTTATTCTCCAGACGCAGACATATGGGCGCACACTCAAACGCACACATGCAGTCACACCACCCAACCCGCGCCGCAGACATGCACACCCACCACCACCAACACACATACCAGTTAGGAGACGCAAATGCACATACTCAGAGCCCCGAATCATCAGGGGTAACTCGGGTCAGGGATAACTCGGGTTCGTTTCTCGGGAATCCAAACCCGAGTTACCCCGGACCCGAGCTACCCCGGATAACTCGGGCGTCCAGAGCCCCGAATCATCAGGGATAACTCGGGTCAGGGCTAACTCGGGTTCCTTTTCCGGGAATCCAAACCCGAGTTACCCCGGACCCGAGTTACCCCGGATAACTCGGGCGCCCAACATACGGCGGGCACACATACAGAGACACACTAGGCGCACGCCAGACACTAGCACGCACAGACATTTGCAGACACGCATCACACACAGACACTCGCACAGAAGACCCTAAAACGTTTGGTTTCTCTGACAAAGCGCGCTGCGACGGTTTCATTGCCAGCCGCGGAAATCCAATGGTTCTATGCGTCTGCCGGCAGGCCTTGAGCGCGTCTACAGAGGGGCCGCGGAACACACCCCGCATCCGCCGGAAACTCGCACCCCCTCCCCCCCCCCCTCCCCCCTTCGTCGGCAGAGCCACCCCGGCAACCCCCCCAGAGGCTGAGGCTCAGCCTCGAGGCTGTAGCTGAGACTCCTTGAAACTCACACGCCGGATCGGCGGATTTGGAACTCTGTGGCTTTATGCTGTTCACGCTACGCTGCTCAAGACCTGCAACACAAGTGGACCACCGTGGATCCCAAGCAGAGTGTTTTTAGCAATACATGATGTGCAATCTATGCTGTGCAATCTTTGTGGGGCTATTTCTGCAGTGCACCCTATATGTAGTACAACCCTTGTGGTTCAACATAATTTGTTCGCAACATGCTGTGCACTATATGTGCTTCAATGGGTGTTGTGCAACATCTGTAATGCAATCCATTTTGTTTGCGATCAAAACGCGCACCGCAGTCGCGACACAACATATCGTATTGTGTATGTGCATCAGTTTATGTGGAGTAAACAATACAGTGCAACCTATTTGGTGCAATCTGGGTTCCCCAATCTACGTCGTGCAATTTCTGGGGCAGTGCAATATATGTTTGGCAATCTCTGTGGTGCAGCAATATACATTGTATAATTCACATATGGTTGAAGCTATATGTTTCTGCAACACATTCTATGTAATGTTTGCTGTACGGCTGTGCACTCTATGAGGTGCAATATGTGATGTGCAATACAGAATGTGCAATCTATTTTGTTATGCAATAAGTGTGGCGCACCCTGTTTGGTCAGTCTTCGTTGTGCAATCAGCATGGTGCCACATATGAGGTTGTTATATATATGTTGTGCAGTCCGTATGGTGCTATATATATGTCGTGCAGTCTATTCTGTGAGAGATCCAAACGCGCACCGCAGGAGCGATTTGTTGTTCGTGCAATCTGTGTGGTGCAATCCAACGGCGGCGACGGGCGGCGACGAGGCGGCGACGGGGTGGCGACGGCGACGACATGGCCGCAAGACCGGCCAACTGCCCAGTCCTTAGAGCAGAAGTAAGGAGCATGAAGTGCAATCACTGAGTGGGAAGTTATGGATACACATTTGTTTGTTACATATGTGTTGCGCAAGCGATTCGGCGCAACCGCATGGGGCGCGCACGAGGCGCGCACGGGCGGCGACTGGGCGAACACATGTCACCGCCAGCCAGCGCACGAGGCGACCGCGGTCGGCCACGGGTTGCCATCTGGTAAATGAAGTCGAGCTGCTTGCCAAGTGATCCTTTAGAAGGTGAGGCTTCTCCTCCTCCTCCGCCTCCTCCTCGAGATCCTCCACGCGCGAGCATTGCGTGGTGAAGTTGCGTCAAGAAATGCATCCATATTGCACATCAAGAAGTTTTGGCCAATACCGTACATGAAGAGCATATATCAAACATCGGCATCATGCAGATTCTTCATATCCAGTCACCATGACCATGTTCTTATCACATCACCACATGCATCATACAAATAGCATTGCCCGTCCACCGGGCACACGTCGTTTTGTTTTCGAAAAATAACGCATGATTCCACCCGCTTGCCATCGTTGTACCCAAACAGTAGGTTCTCGAACTCCCCGGTGTTCAATCCATGTCGTGATGTGTCGTAGTATAAGGTACAAGGTGCAGTATATGTGGCGCAATGTACGTGGTGCAGAGTCTGTGGCACAAATTGCGGCGCAAGTCATGCAGTGCATATTGCTTGATGTAATATATGTGGTGCAACCTCTGGTGCTTCGAGCTACGTGGTGACATCAATGTTGTGCAAGCTTTGTGGTGCAACCTGTGTGGTTCAGGGTGTGTTGTGCAAGGTGGCGTAAGGCACTTTGCGGAGCCTATGTGGGGCAAACCATGTGGTGCAAGCTATGTCGTGCCATCTTTTTGATCAAGTCCGTGTGATGTGAGATGCGTGACCAACCTATGGCGGGTAAGCTGATTGGTGGAAGCTATGTTTTGCAGTTACGTTCGCCACTGATGTGTGTCAATTGCAATGCTCTCGGAAACAAGTTTGGCACAGTTCATTCGGCCGCGATTGCGGTTATTGTTTGAAGTTTCCTAGCGAGCGCGTCTCTACGGAGCGCGCGCGCTCGCGCGCAGCGCGACCAGGTAGTTTGGCACAATTGATGCGGCTGCGATGCTGCTGACCGATGGGGACTTCCTGGCGCGTCTCATAGACCGTGCTAGCGCGAGTTCAGTTCATTGCGGGTTGGTGTTAATGTTGAACGCGATATCAGGATGATGTCGGAAGCGGCAGCAGCGGTGATGACGTTATCGATGATGATGGTGTTCATGACGATGGCGATGGTAAGGCCAATGATGACGCGATGTTGGTGACGATGACGACAATGATGATTCCCACGTTTTGGTGACGACCATGATTTTCATGAATGCGGTAATGACGGCCATTTGCGTTGACGCTAGAGGCGGCTGTGCGACGGCGATAGTGAGGGTAATGAAGAAGTGCTCGCTCGCAGCTCACAGACATTCAAGACACCTAGCAGCCTTTTTTGTCGACATAGCGTTGGTTTCCACATGCTTAGGAACAGAATCTGGAACTGTCTTGCACGTCGCATGTTTTGACGGGTTTTGACACCATGCCCGCGTGGCGGCGGGCGCATGTGGCCCACACGGTATCGTTTTCTGCGGCTGGCTTCTGACGTCCGCAAGTGCGTGCGAGGGTGGGGGGGCAATCGCCGTCCTGTTGGGATGGGATGGTTTCATATGGACCAATGTGTTACCAGCCTGGAACAGATCCCTATCCCTATGCTGGGCATCTCCTCATCACGATGCCGATCTTAGGGATTCCCTTATTTTCGAGGGCGCATCCTTAGGATTGTCATCGCCTTTTGGCGTGTCAATTTTAGGGACGTTCGAGGCTGGGCAATCACAGCCCTGTTGGGATGGGATGGTTTCATATGGACCAGTGTGAACTGTACGCTCCCAGGGGGAAACGATAGCACTTACCAGCCTCGAACGTATCCCTATCCCTAAGATTGACACGCCAAGAGGCGATGCCAATCTTGGGGATGCGCCCTCAAAAAAAATAAGGGGATCCCTGAGATTGGCATCGTGCTGAGGAGGTGCCCAGCATAGGGATAGGGATATGTAAAACACCGGTGGGAAGGCGGCGGAGCCGACTCTTCTCTGGAGCGGGCAAGCTATAGTGGTGCGCGCTATGTGTGGTCGGCAGCGCGAGGCGCCCACCGGCGCCCACGGGCGGGAACGGGGCGGGCACGGGATGGAGCCCCGCCACGCCCACCCAGCGCACGGGGGGCGTCCACAACGCGCCCGCTCAGAGCCCCGAATCATCAGGGGTAACTCGGGTCAGGGCTAACTCGGGTTCCTTTTTTTCGGGAATCCGAACCCGAGTTGCCCCGGACCCGAGTTACCCCGGATAACTCGGGCGCACGGGGCGTCCACAGCGCGCCCGCGGGCGGTCACCAATCGAACACCAGGCGAAACGCCATTCAATTGTTTCGGACATCTAGTGATCACCACCGCTTTGGGACTGACGATGTCTTATGTCGGACATCAGTACCGCAATCCCTGCATGTGCATCAGCAAGAAGCAGCAGCGGCGCATGTCAATAGCAGGCGCCCGCAATGTACACCAATTGCAGATACCAGAAAACACACACACACACATCGCAATAGCAGACACTGGTCACATATAGCAATTCCGCACATCAGGCGCGTTGCACATGACGTGCACAACGACAATCCAGAATGCACTGCGCACCACGCTGCACTGTATAGTTGCTCTGAACAGGCTTCGGCTCCGATCGCAGCAGCTCCTCGGTGGGGATCGCCCGATGCAGCGTCGTTCCCCTGGTCCCTGCGCTCGTCCCTGGGGCGCCCCACAGCGCGGCGCCGTCCGTCCCCTTGGCATGGGGTATATGCGGAGCGCTGCCTCCAGGACGGCCCCGTAGGATGCCTCGACTATGGAGCGAGGGGTCAGAGGAGGAACAGGTTCCCATACCGCTACCCTTCCCTTGTTTTCCCCTCGGGCCTCCTGAGCGGCCCATGTCGCCACTGCTGGATTCGCCTCGAAATCCTGCTGAGAACGCACCCCAGGAGAGATCCGGAGGGTAGAGCAAGGGGTACCTTCTTGGTTTCCCCAAGAAGGGATCAAAGCGAATGTGTTATTTTCATTGTCTGGACCATTCTGGACCGCAGTGTGCATGGCGGTGCCGTCACGGAGTCATATCCGTGGCGGGCATCCCCTGCCGATGCCTCTGGGGCCGTCCTCATCTGGTCTTGGAGGTTTGCAAAGTGTGCACGAGAGCTCTCAGGTCAGATGGTTGTTTTACGGGACCTGCCTGGGGCATACCTTGCGGATCCGTTGGACTATAATTCGATTATACCTTGATTCAAGTTCTACTTTAGCTCAACTCTAACTCAATTCATGTCCGATTCAAGTCACCGGCCATTCGAGTCAGCATCGATGCATGAATGGAGCGAGTGGCTTCAGGAAGGTCCCCAGAGCAAGCAACACATTAAATTCAATGGCCTCCGTTGTCACTGGTGTGCTTTGAGCACTACGAACGTAGCAGAGAGCTTCAGGATTGGAATTCGTAGGATCGCCGTCTCGGAGAGATCCGACTTTGTCCGGTGGTCTTTCAAATGATTTGATGGTGTCTCTGGGCATCCCCGCCTGTTGAGGTAGCCTCTGTGGGGCTGGGTGGTTATTGCCCGTCCCCTGGTCGCCATCCCGTGTCGACGACGTCTCTGCCTCCCCCCCCGCGATTTTCGATGTTGCCCCCTTAAGTGGCCTGGGTTGATTCCCGTCGCCAGTTCCAGCGATGACGGCGGCGGATTCGTGGTTGACAGCTGTCTCTCGTCTCTTTCCTCGTTTGCTGGGGTGTCCCCTGCCCAGCCGCTCGGGCCGCCCGCGGACGGACGCACGGCAGCCTGCCCGCGGCCGCTCCCGCAGCGCAGAAGTCTGGCCCAGTCTTCTCTTCAGTGGCTCTCTTGGCGGACGGACAGCGCAATCCCACACCCGTAGGCGGGGATGCAGGGGGCTGCAGGTGCGTGCTGTCGGATGGGGGTCAGCGCTCCAGCCCGAGCCTCCCTCCGCCAGGGTCCGACGACCCGGCCCCACAGCCACAGCCGGTCCTCCTCCCTCCGGCTCCCCTGGGTGGCCATGGGTGCGTGCTGCTCGCTCGTCCTCTCTTCCGTCTCCCTCCGACGCCTCCCCCTCGTCAGGAGCCCAGCTGCCCAGCGGGCGCGAGGCCGGGGCCATGGTCGCGTCCGGGCTGATCGCCGCGATGACCAGCATGGCCATCGTGCTCGACGGGCCGTCGGAGCACGACGGGACGGCGGGGCGGGCTCCCGCTTGAGGGTCGGCGTCTCGAGGCGGAGGGGGGGGAGGGGGGGGATCCCCGTGGCGATCGGTTTGGAGTCGGCTGGGGTCTGAGGTGGCCCAGCACCGGCGCTGGCGAGCGGGAAGCGGGGGCGAGGGTCCGGGGTCCGGGTCCGAGACGCTGTTGTTGCTTGTTTCTGTCCTCAGGGAGCCGTGCTGGCAAACACGGAGCCGGAGTGAGAAACGGCACCAGGTGGACCCCGGGAGGGTTCCAGGGACCGCTTTTGAGCGGATTTGCTTTTACAGTCAACCATGATAGTAAGAAGGGGGCGACTTTCCCAGGCTACCCTTGCATCCTTGCCCCTTGCGGCATTCGGCATCCCTCGGCATTCTGCTACGCTCCGCACGGAAAACGTCAACATGGCGTTCCAAGGCCTTTGCATCCTTACCGTGCATCCTTGCCATCCTGGTCGAGTGCATCCACCCCCTGTTGACCGATTCTCTTGAGGTTCCTCCAGTTCAGGCCCCCTGGCCGCCTCCGAGGACAGATGCCGTCTCCGTCGGGTCTGGGGGCGTCCATCCCCGCCTCGGAGGGGTTGGCTCGTGGCGCCAATGGACCTTGGACCACTGCGGTCAGGGATATGACAGTCACGTTGCATCTTCGGGGGACCTCGCCTGCCCCCCAGAATTCGTGCCCTTTTTTGTGCCCGACGCGGGCTCGATGTGGACTCGACGCGGAGCTGGCGTGGATTCGGCGCGGATTCGACACGGATCCGACGAGTCCGACATGGAATCGATATGGATTCGGCGCGGATAGGGCCGCGACAGGACAGGCAAGGTCCCCCGATGATGCTACCTAATGGTAGGTCTGACGATTCTGGTAAGAAACAGTTTCGGCAAGCGTGTCTGGCGGCCCCCGCTGATCGGATGTAGGTTGAAGCCCACTCTTGGTGCAGCACTGGCAGTTCGCTCCTTCGTCCCTAGTTGAGGCCCACCCACACCCGGCGAGTAGAATCGCGCAGGATTGGTGGCTGTAGGTTTTGTCCTTTGGTAGGAGAAGTCGTGAAAGTAATTGAATCGTAATACATAGAGCGTGGCACCACTTCGCAGTACAAAGATGTTGAACATCAACAGGATTTGGATGATGATCAGAATTCGGAGGACGAGGAGGTGCAGAATCATGATCAGACATATCAGCAATATGAGCATGGGGAGGAGCATGAGTCCTCGGGATGACTGGAACGATGGTGATGTTGTTGCGCAGGATGGTGATGATGAGAAGGAGGAGGACGAGGAGAAGGAGGAGGAGGACGAGGATGAGGAGGAGGACGAGGAGGAGGAGGAGGAGGAGGAGAAGCAACATCACCAGCCTCACCATCAGGATTGTCGGCTGCCTGCGGCAGGTCCCGCCACTGTGCCATACCAACACCTTGGGTTGCGACTGGTCTGCAAGGCGCGCAGGAGGCCGTAGCGTGTGGCACCTCGTGCCCCGAGGCTTGGGAGAGCTGCAACGTGTAGCACACCCTTCCTCATCGTGTCGGGACTCTTCCTGCCTTCGTCGTTGTCCGCACTCTTTCACGCCCTCTCTGGGGCTCCTGTAGGCAGCTTTGGGGGTTCCTCTGGCCACTTTTTGGCCATCTTGGGGCCCTCTTGTGCCGTCTTGCGGCCCTCTTGGCCGTCTGGGACGTTTCGTGCGGCCGTCGCGGGGCCGTCGCGGGGCTGTTTGGGGCCGTCGAGGGGTTGTTCTTTGAGGCCGTCTTGGGTCCCTCTGGAGGCCCTTTCGGGCAAGCTTGGTGGGGCGTCTTAAGGGGCATCTTGGGTTGGCCATGCTGGGGCTGTGTGGTGTTGGGTCGTTTTGGGGTCATCTTGGAGGCGATTAGAGGGCCGTCAAGAGACACACGAGGACCGCAACGGTGAAGACGCCACAGTCTCGAAACCAAGCGTAGGCACACATCTAAGCAAGGCCTTTCCAGGCCCTGCTGGGGGCCTCTTCTGACCACCCTGTTGGGCCGTCGTGGGGGCCTCATGGGCCGCCTTGCAGGCATCAAACACCATGTGCTGACGACCGCTGTCTGCGGCAATTTGGGCACGCGTGGCAAGGTCGGAGGATCGGAGCCGCATGGAGGACGAGCTCGTCAAGACGTGCGTGGGCCTCGGCCCCCCCCCCCCCCCGGCAGCTCCCTCGCGGAGCCCTGCGCCGGCTCCTGCTCCTGCGCATGTTGGGCCAGCCTTGGCGGCCCTGCCGCCTCGGAAGCTCGGGAGCGCTCGCTCGCTCTGCCGGCGCGGGTGCGGGCGGGGCGCCCGCGTCTCCGGCGGCACGTTGTGCCTCCGTGGGGTGGGGCGCCTCCCGGCCCCGACCTGCGCGCGCGAGTGCCTGGGGCCTGTGTTGGGGGTCTCTCGGGGGCCTCTTGGGAGCGTCCTGGGGGCCTCTCGGGGGCCTCTTGGGGGCCTCCGGGCCACCTCTCGGGGCCCTCTTGGGGCACCCTTGGGGGCCTTGGGAGCGCTCGTGGGGCCATCTCGGAGGAGATCGGTCCAACAAGGGGGGTCCTGAATTAGCGTCGCCCTCCCAAGGGGCCAAAATGGGGCCCAAACCCAAGTGGCACCAATGATGTTGGCTTCCTCGCCGAGGCCGTTTTGGATGTCCCGGCCGCTCGCGGGACGCCCCGTCCAGGTCCAGGAGAGGGGGTACTGGGGGGAAACCCCTCCCCGAAGGGGAAGAAGAGGGTGGAAGAGGAAACGCCCTGAACCACCTACGCCCTCAAGGGCTGGTGGGATCATTCAGAAGGCTGGAGGACTTCCGAGCCTGTTGGGAAGGCCCGCTGCCTCGCATTCCCCCCCCGGACTGGCCGCCGAACCGCGTTTGGCCTCTTGCTTCCCCTTTATTTACCTAGTTGCGGAAAACAGCATTGCTTGAGGATAAGGCGATCACGTTGAGTTGCTTGCGGAACACAGCATTGCGTTACCTTCCCGTTCCTTCCCCTCTTCCGTTGCACGTTGCGGAACAGCATGCTTGAGGATAAGAGAAAGAGCGTGTTCTACCGCTGCTGGCGGAAAACTGGGGGGGGTCACTACCGGTTCGAACCCCTCCCCCCCCCTTCCGGAAAACCGAGGGGGGTCACTACCGGTTCGAACCCCTCCCCCCCCCAGCTCATCATGGAAAGGGGGGGGGGGTCACTACCGGTTCGAACCCCCCCCCTTCCCCCCCCCCTTCGAAAACCGGAGGGGGTCACTACCGGATCGAACCCCCCCCCCTCGAAAACCGAGGGGGGGTGCGGACAGTGGTGGGGACGGTGGTGGTGGGGACAGTGGTGAGGGGAAAGCGGGACGGTGGTGGGGACAGTGGGACAGTGGTGGGGACTGTAGTGGTTGGGACAGTGGTGGGGACGGTGGTGGTGGGGACAGTGGTGTGGGGACAGTGGGAGGTGGAAACAGTGGGACAGTGGAGGGTACAGTGGTAGTGGGGACAGTGGTGAAGGCGGTGGCGAGGACGGCGGTGGGACAGAGGTACAGTGAGGACAGTGGTGGGGACAGTGGTGGGAACAGTGGGACGGCTCAGTGGGACAGCGGAGGAGTCAGTGGGACAGTGGGGACAGTGGGGATAGTCGGGCAGTGGTTGGGGCCGTGGAGAAACTGCTGGGGAGAGTGGAACCGTGGTGGGAACAGTGGTGGGGACAGTGGGGACAGTGCGACAGTGGTGGGAGCACTGGTGGGGACAGTAGGGACGGTGGTGGAACCAGTGGGGACAGTGGTGGTGAGGACAGTGGTGCTGGGAACAACAGTGGGGGATGTGGCGCGGACGGTGGTAGGGACCGGGAGTCGTTTGCTGGCGGTGAGTGGGGGGGGGGGTTCGAACCGGTAGTGACCCCCCTCGGTTTTCGAGGGGGGGTGGGTTCGAACCGGTAGTGACCCCCCCCCGGGGGCGGGGGAGGGGAGGGGGGGAGGGGTTAGGGAAGGGGGGGGGTTGCCGGGGGGGGGAGGGGGGAGGGGGGGGGTCCAGCAGGGGGGGGGATTTTCGGCGGGGGGGGACCCCTGGGTTCCGGAGGAAGAGGGGGGCAATTTTCCACAGTAAAACGGCGGTGGATCACGCTCTCTCGGATAAGGCGATCACCGTTTCTTGGTGTCCGCTTTTGGAAAATGCGTGATCCCCTTCATTGTTGTCCGAGTTGTCTCATATTCCTCATCTTGACCCTGTTCATCCCCCTTCCCCATTTCCGCATATTTTCATTGTCCTGCTCCTATCCGCACCCTCTCCCTCCTCTTCTTTCCTCCTCCTCTTCCTCCTCGTTTTCCTCTTCCCCATCGTCTTTCACCCTTCACCCCTACTCATCATATCCTCTTCTTTACATTCGCTGCCTGGAGGACAACCTGCGGCGTAGTGCGGGAAGCTATCGCCTCAGATCGCCCCGAGCTGATCTGACTACCCCGATCGCTGATCGGCGTGATCCGCCAGTCACCGGGTCGGGTCGGCCAGTCACAAGTCCCCTTCCAGGTGCGGCGGACCATCGATCGGTTGAGACGTGTGGTGTATTTGTCGTGTGCGAGTTTGGCCGCGGGCAGATCTGCTAGGATGGACAGGCGTGCAGATATCCGGTCATCTGCGACGGCGCGCGGCGACACATCCTGCCCGATCGACCCGACGGGACGCAAACCCGCCCGAGGCTGGGATCTTGTGGATGCCTGTGCTCTGGCGCTACCAGTTCGGGGTCGACCTCGGTTTCAAGCGCCTCAACTCCATCCCGGGAGGGGCTCCGGCGGGGGCGGCGCAGCGCACCCTAACTGCGAACCGCTCGGCCCCCCGACCCGACACGCCGTACGTGCAGTCTCTGTGTGCGCGTCCGTTTGTCCTGCAGCGTCGAGTTTGGCACCGGCCTCCGTATCGCATGGCGTCGGTTTGCATGCATGATGAGCGTGGTTTTTCCGCCACCACCATAAGTTGGAGAGGGGAAGGAGGATGAGGAGGAGGAGGAGGAGGAGGAGGAGGAGGAGGAGGACGAAAAGGAGGAGGAGGAGGAGGAGGAGGAGGACGAAGAGGAGGAGGAGGAGGAGGAGGAGGACGAAAAGGAGGAGGAGGAGGAGGAGGAGGAGGACGAAGAGGAGGAGGAGTTGGAGGAGGAGGACCCCGTCCCCCTCCAAATTATTGTGGTTGTGGTGGTGGAAAACGGGGCCATCTATTTCGTTGAATTGGCTTTGCCTTTGGCCCATGTGCTGTGCGTTTCGTTTTCGGCAGTTGCCGTCGATGCCTGGAAGACGCGCCCTGCGCCGCCAGGGATCTCCTTCGCGCAGCCCTGTACCAGGGTGTCCCTCAGCCCGGTGATGTCTTGCGCCGCGGGTGGGAGCCTTCGTTCGGCGCTTTTCCCGACTGCGCCTGGCCTTTGTGCACAGTCCCCGAGGAATTGTCGGAGCAATCTTTCTCGAAACGCTTTCCACAGGCTGCAACTTTTTGGGTTGTTTGGAGGGAGGAGGGAGGGGGAAAAGGTGGGAGGAAGTATAGCGAGGGGGAAGAATGGGGAGAAGGGGGGGCGAATTGGTAGAGAGGGGAAGGTTTCCTTAGTCGGCGGCCCCATCGCAAGGATCTCGCCGCCGGCCCCTCCCAGTCGGCCGGATGGCGATGGGGGAATCAGGACATGGGGGAATGAGAATCCGGTACCGTTTTGTTGGGGTACAATTTGTATTTTCTCTGCGGGTTGCAAGTGCAAATTGTACCTTCTACCCCCCGTTAACATCCTCGCACATGTCGCGGACGTTGTCAAAAGTACAATTTGTACCTTGTCTGCGTGGCGTCGGTACAAATTGTACCTTCTCCGTGGGGCGTAGGTACAACGTACCTCGGTTGCGACTCTCTCCCCTCCTGGACTTACCCCCCCATTTGCATCCCGCCAACCCAGGGACAGGTGGCCGAGTGGCTACGTGCTGGTGGTTGTTCGAGGCCTGGGAGTCCCTACCTCACTGGGCGGTTCTGTCTGAGCGCAAGGGAAGGCCCTTTGCGCGCAAGCATTGTGTTCTTCCGGGGGGAACGTCGATCCGCCTCCGCTTCTCCGGGCCGCCCGGAGTGGGGTCGAAGCTGATGGGTCGGGAGCCTCGAGACGGGGGTCAATGCAAACGGGGGTCAGCCACGGCACCAGATCCTGCAGGATCTTGCGAAGACCCCCTCTGGCTGACCCGGGTTAGCGAGCCGTTCGTGGCCGCGAGGCGGCCGCACATATTGGCTGACCCGGGTTTGTGAAGACCTGCGTTGCAGTTTTTTTTTCCTGCATTGCAGTTTTTGGTTTCCTGCTGACCCGGGTCTGGATTGACCCGGGTCAGAAGATCCCCGAATGGGATGGGTGGACCGCCCAGCATCCCACATGCATCGGCGATGCGGCTCGATCTGGGGAGCCTGATGATCTCTACAGTAGGGATGGGCAATTCTCCCAAGGGTACACTTGCAACGTTACCTCCCCGGTCCATCCTTGGCCACTTTCGTTGGCCGCGCCCCGCTCGAAAAGCCTCGAAACAGCCTTCCAAGGCCCTTGCATCCTTATCGCGCATCCTGATCATACGGGCCGACTGTACCCCGACTTCGCCAATGCATCGTCGATGCAGTGCGATCCTCCGACCCCGTCCACTCCGACCCCAGCAGGGCGGGCTTCATCTTCGCCCTGCCTGACGGGGCACACTTTCTCAGCGCCGCCTTCGTCTGGGCCCCTCCCGACGTCTGTATTATTCTCGCGGGGCTGCTGCTCAATCGCCTCGCTGGCGTCATCTCAGAGGATAAATGTTGACCCCTGCCTTCGCGACGAAGCCACACCGTGTCATACTGACATGCCCTTTCTCTGTTGGACAAATTCCTGATGCTGGAGTTTACACATGTCCACCGCTTGGGGAGCCAGTCTTCTTAGAGTTGGTTCGCGAGTGCGAGAGAGAGGGCCTTCCATGGTTAGGTGTGATTGACGTCAGATTGCTTCGCTCCCATGTGCGCGCCAGGGTGCCTGATGGACCACAGGGTTGTCCCGGGAATGTTCTGTTGCCCAGCGATTGTCCCGATGGTTGTCGAGTGGTTTTTCCGATGGTTGTCGTGTGGATGGCCTGTTGTTGTTCTGATGGTTGTCATTTTGTTGTCCCGTGGCTGTCCCGATGTTTGTCCCGATGGTTGTCCGAGTAGTTGCCCCATGATTGTTGTGCGGTTGGCCTGTTGTTGTCCTGTCGTGTTTGTCCCGCGATTGGTGCCCAGTCGTGTTTGTTTTGCTGCCAATCGAAAGATGGATAGTAAGGCCAGTGGGCGGATAGCGATTCATAGGTGGGTAGTGGTGTGTGTATATATATACCATGTGTATGTATGGGAGTATATATATACATGTACTCCTATACTTTTATTAATCGCTTCGCTCATTCCGCCGGCCCTCGAGCGCTCTATGGGGCCTTTTTGAAGCCTCTTGGGGGCCTCTTTGGGGCCTCCCAGGGGCCTCTTGGGGGCCTCTTGGGGGTCTCTTGGGGCTTCTTGGCGGCGTCTTGGGCCCCCCTTGGGCCTCTTGGGTGGCTCTTTGGGGGCCTCTTGGGGCGGGGTAGTCGAGTGCACCCCCCTCGGAGGCCACGATCCTCGTGAGGGGTGTCGAAAAAAGGCCCTCAAAACCATCTCTGATCCGACCCTGCCGGGGATCGCCCGGGGTACTTTCGCCGGGGGACCCCCAGGGGCCGCCCCTCGCGCGCGAACTAGAAGTATTATTTAGCAGTTACCGGAGATCTTAGCACGCCTCTGGCCCGTTGGGCCGGCGAATTTCCTGGAACGCCCCCTCCCCCTAAGCGGGACCCCCACCCCAAGGGACGTCCTGGACGCCCTTTCGGACGTCTCGGCGGCCCCCCGGGCGCCGTTGGAAAAGGTCTGCGCAGCTGGCCTTTCCGGCCGGGCCTCCCAGGGCGCCTTGCCGGGCCTTGCGAGCAGACTAAAGCGATCAGAAGGGATCATCGGATAAGCGACAAAGAGACCCAAGACAGCACAAGAGCGCCCCAAGACGGTCCGAAGACGGCCCACGAGGCCCCCAAGACGCCCCAGGAGGCCGTTAAGAGAGCCCCGAGTAAGCAAACTCGTCCCATTCCCTCAGGCCAAAAATAGACCTTTGAGCATATCCGCTTTGGGGGTCTTCGCAGCTTAGAGAGCCCCGTGACTGCCCACCAGAAACCCAAGATGCCCCCAGAAGGCCCCCAAGACAGACCAACGCAAGCTGTGGGAGACCCCAAGAGGGCCCAGAAGAAGGCCACTGGAGGCCCCCAAGAGGGCCCTAGATGGCCCCAAGAGGCCCCAAGAACGCCCAGACGGTGTTCTCCGTGCGTTCGTTGCGCTCACGTCAGCCCGCCTGCCTTTCCCATACCTCTATCACCCTCTCTTCCTTTCTCTCCCTTCCCCCCTCTGCCTTCTTCGTCGACCTCCATGTTCGTGGCATCCGATGGCTATCCTCATTCGCCCGCTCCTTCCTGTGGACGTTCTCCCCATTTCGCCCCCCCTCTCCCCCCCTTCCGCCTCTTCAGCCCCCTCTCATCCCTGCTCCCTTCCCGTTCCCCGTTCATGGACATGCGCCATCGCAACAGTTGGATGCTTCGTCATTTGCCAGCACCTCGCTACGTGAAAACAACATTCCTTCCCCACACCGGCGCACAAGCGTGCGAGCGCATTGGGCGAACGCGGTGTCAGCAGACACCAGGGATAGCAGAAAAATGAACCGATCGCCCGTCCAACCCTCGAGGCCCCTCCCGCTGAAGCAAGCGATGGTTGATTGCTTTGCTGGGGAAACGTCCCGAACAAGGCGCGTGGCGCAAAGCGCCAACGCTGTGCTGTATATATATATATGGTTATATAAACATATATGGTCGGTCACCGCCAGCGACCCCCCAAAACGCCCCAGGTACGAATCGGTTGAAACGGTCATTCTGCACAGCCGCACGCGCGTTTCATTTTATCACTACTCATTCAAATTTGTGATCCAGGCTGACGAACGCACGCGCTCGGCCCATCCGTCACGGGCGCCGTGCGCGCAAGCATTGCGGTATCGGTCGGTGGCACCAAACATTGTGCATGTTTATTGGGCTGGCCTCTGGCCAGTGCCGCCGATCCGGTGGGGGTGAGAGCGATCCGTTTTGGACATTGTAAAGACCCAAGAAACGAATTTGCAGAAAATGTGCGTTTTCGAAGGGAATGGGTCAATTTGTCAGTCTTTGGGCATTCTTGGGAAGTGTCGTGAGGGATCCTGGGGACGTTCTGGAGGTTTCTGGAACTCGCGTCGGGGCCTCTCTTGGCTTCCTCTTGGGCTGTCTTGGGCGGTCGGGGCTCCGGAAGTGAAGTTTTCTATACCCCCTTGCCCCCGGGTGCCGAACAACTTGGGAAATGACGTCGGAATATCCCCGTGTACCGAAAAACGTCGGAAATGACGTCGGACATAACGTACCCCCTTGCAGAGCGAAGCTTGAGCGAGCTCAAGTCCACGCTCTCAGAAACTCACACGCCATATCGGCGGATTTTTCTTGCGCTTGTGGAACCACGAATCACTGTATGTTTTCTCGTGGATCGTGGATGTCCCAGTGATCGCCGTTGCCCCCCCTCCGCGCGCTTCAGTCTGAGTCTCCGAAACCAGATACAAGCAAAACGGCATGCGCAGTGCTTCGTGGCTCCACGTGCTTCAGACATGGTTGCACAAACAAACAAAACACGCATGCACAGCGCGTCCTGGCACAGAGGGCGCCGACCTCTGTGTGCGTTCGGTTTTTTCTCTCGTAGGATCAC